ATCGTGATGGCGTTGACATGGACCGTTGAAGACTCGGGCGACTGCCAGCGAGGTAGCCCGACCTAGTTACCGCTACTTCGTATAGTGCAGCTACCCGTCGTCCAGTCGATTTGTGGGTTATACCGTCGCAACCAATCACGTCCCAGTAAAACATCATGCCTATCCAATGTCGTTGTGAGCATCTCTTGTGTAAACCCGAATTTCCCCCCGCTGCGGACTTTTACTCTCTCCATCTTCTCCTATATGGCCAGCGGCGTGCCGTCGACTAAGCATGCATCTCCGGTAAACACCGACTAAGTGGCAGTTGCAACTTCCATTCGGTTGTGGTATTAACTAAGCTGTGACTTGCTCCTCCATCTATAAATATCTTCATTGCTGCTCCTTGTATATTTGCCGTGAATTTGTATTGGGCAATCCGTCGCTATACCCTCCTTATTCATCCGAGCTCGATCGATTGCGTGAATCGGTACTGTGACTCGGTGAGGGTCGGTGAGGTTGGGCAAGCAGGTAATTTTGTCAGTAATTGGTCCGTTTTCTACTGGCTGCTGCCGTTTCCCTGCCTCTGAGACTCCCTCCCCTGCTTTGCTCCGCGGCGCCTCAGCTCCTCTGGACATTTACTCTTGCGATGGCCCGGCCAATTGCAAGCAAAGCAGCGCCCCTTAAACGGCGCGGCAGCTGCATTCGCCGCAACGGCGTGTACGGTGGCGTGCTCAGTCGGTCCCCGAGGACGATGTCCATAATAGGACCCCGGTCTTGGACGGCGCAGGATGTCGATTTTCTCGGCGAGCGTGAGGATCTCGTTAAATTTCGAGAGCCCGCGTAGCACGATTTCGTGCGAGATGTCTGGCCGGACATCTCGTCAACTTCACGTACGCGCACCCCGTTTCCAATACCCCGTAAGAGGTCCACTAGTGATCCCCGATTGACCATAGGGAAGGGTTACAGGCATGTTGGCCTGGGGGGTTATCGGCGCCCTCACCCGCTACACAAACAAGGCCTTTTATCCTAGTGGTCTAGTGGCTAGGATTCTGACATGGTATCAGAGCTAAGTTCTCTGGTTCGAATCCCAGTGTGTGCACTTCGTGCATCCCAGTGCGAGGGGGGTGTCAAAGGTCCACTGGTGATCCCCGATTGATCCTAGGGAAGGGTTACATGCACGTTGGCATGGGGGGTTTTGGGCGCACTAACCCGCTACTTAACAAGCCTTTTTATCCCAACGGTCTAATTGTTGGGATTCTGACATGTACATTTTGGTACGTCCAAATCAGTGTTACTCGGTACGCTATACTGATGCTTCAGTGTTAGTGGTACACCTCAACACTCATTCTTCAGGGTAGTCATATACTTGAAACTGAAAAATCAGTGCAAAAATAAATAAGATACTGAAATTTCAAGGAAAACGAAAATCACAGCTACAAAATCAGCCTAATCAGCGTGTTTTACACTGATATCTGAGGGCCTGGCGGGAACAATGGTGTACGAGCTAGGCAGGGATGCAAAGTAAGGAAAAAGGATTTGTTCCGTACAGTAGCTGACACGTGCATGACGAGATTCAACAAGTGTATACAAGTTCTTGAAATATCGTCATACCCCGGATATAAGCGCCACCCGCGGATAAGCGCCTGGCGCTTTTAATTTGCGTGTGGAGCTTATATCCGGTGCTCGATTATAAGCGCATACCTAAAAGGCTTACAGATTATAACCGCATACCTATACCGTACACATTATAACCGCCACCCTGTTTTTTTGTTGTTTTTTAATTTGAAGACATTTTATACATTTAATCCACTAGCATATCATGTTAGTTAATCTACAACTAGTTTGTCTACTTCTAGTTAATCTACTTCTACCTACGAGCCTCACACAGGCTTCACCATTTTCTAGAAATCTACCCTACTCTAATCATCAGCTGCAGTGGGGTCATCTGGGTCGGCGTCAGAGTCCGACTCAGGTTCCTCTACGTTGTTGTAGAAGAAACCGTCTGCTGCAATTTCATCATCCATGTCAACCTCCTCGCCCTCGAGCTCGTCTCGCCTGTGTTGCAGGTAGAGCTTGCCCTGGGACCCATCCAGGGCGTTGCTGATGCCGCAGGTGAGGAACGCCCGTTGAATGAGCTCCTTGGGCACGGACTTCCAGGCCGCCGAGATCCACTTGAGCGTCAGCTCGACAGGAGGCTTCTTGATGTTGCCTGCCACGCAAATCCACAAACCGGGTCAGCACGGGTTAAAGAAATAAAAACATAATCAGTGCTGCACCTCTAACCTTTCTTCGTCAAGGTGTCGACCCCCTCACGCTCAAACCACTCCTGGTAGAGCTGGCGAACGGCGGCCTTGAAGGAGCGGTTAACCGCGACGTCGAGGGGTTGAATCTCCGAGGTGCAGCCAGCAGGGACAAACGCAGGGACCAGGTGGAGCTCGCCAAACTTCTTCTTCACCTCCGGGGTCAGGTGCCCGCGGTACGAATCGAGGACAAGCAGAGCCTTGCGGGGACGGACTCCAAACTTGGGGTTGATGTACGGCTTCACCGCCCCGTCCAGCCACTCGATGACCCCGTCCGCGTCCATCCAACCGTTGGGATGGACCCCCACGTGGATATCTGCACAACATCAAAACCACGATGCTAGTTACCGTACGTTTATTACCTGACATGAACATAATCGATGTGTGCTTCATACCTGAAAGAAAATCTCCTTTGGGGACGGTCTTCCTTTTGAAGAAGACCCACGGCTTCAACCTCTCCCCGCTGGCGGTGCAGGCGAGCATCACGGTAACCCGCTCTTTCTGGTAGCCGCCGCTGCGGACGGGCACGGAGCGCGAGCCAACCTCTTCAACGGTGCGTTCGGATGGCATCTCGAGCCAGAGGGGCGTCTGGTCCGCGTTTAAGATCCACGGCAGGTCGATCTTGTACTGGCGGCGGGAGTGACGCTCGTACGTCCAGAAGCTCTTGACATCAGTCTCGCAGTGTGGGACACAGGATGGGAGGAACAGAAAGCACAAACACAGAGTGAGAGCCGTGAATAGACGGTTCATACAAACAACAACACCACCAAATAACTCACTTGACGAGAGCTTTTGGCCGACCCGGGTCTTCGCTCTGGTCGTCAGGTTCCAGCGGCGGCGAAAGCGCTGAGTCCACCGCTGAGAGCCGGCCCACTTTTCACCTGGGTGTAACTCTTTCATCACCTCGTGCGACCACTTCTGCAGTCGTGCGATCGAGACGGCGAGGCACTTCTTGCCGTGGGCGAGAAACCTCCGGTACACCTCCGCTTCCATGTCCCGATACCACGAGCTCCTTCCGCGGCCGTGCAGGCGCCAGCGTGCACCGTGCGCGCCCTCAAGCTCAGCCTTGCGGTTCTTCCACTCCGTGAGACACCTTTGGGAGATGCCGGATTCGTGAGACATGCGCCGCACACTCATCTCTCCGTTTTTGAGCTTCAGAATCCATTGCAGCTTCTCATGCGAGGTGTAGGAATTGCGCCTGTGCTTTGTCGGCTTGTGCCTGGGGGAGGGAGGACGGGCATCACGATTATCGCGAGATGGGTGGGGCCTTTTTTTATTCGGAGGGGGGAAGGAGGGAATTGGAAGGTGCTTAGGGAGACCGTCAGCAGCCCAGAACTCCACGTCGTCGTCTGCACCGGTTGCGGATTCGTCCAACGGGCAATCAGCCGGCGCTCCCCACCGTGGCTCTGGTGCGGAGGAAGATCCTTCGCCGCCGCTGCGTTTAGGGTCGGACAGGAAGGCGTCGAACGCCGAGTAGCCAGGCGGGAGGAGAAGCTGCAGAACCCCCTATCCCGGAACACCAACAGCAGGCGGGACAGGAGGGGCCGGAGGAACGGGAGGAATAGGAGGCGCCGGGGGAACGGGAGGGGTAGGAGGCGTAGGAGGAGTGGGAGGAACGGGAGGCACTACTGGTTGTGATGGAGGGACGGGCGCAGGGCGCGACTGCCATTGAGAGTAGTCACGGGTGTCTCTGCGGGTACTTTCTCTAGCAGCAGGTTGGCGGCGGAACAAGAAATGCGTGCCTGGAAGGCCCGCCATGGCCACGGCAGGCCAAACGAACAAAGAAAACTGAATCAAAAGTTGAGAATGAGGGACGTATGAAGCCCTCGCCCGAGACCCCTTCAGTTTTGCGGCCCGGCTTCCTCTGCGGGGAAAGTCCAGCCACAGTCAAGATTCCCCGCAGAGGAGCTGAGCTGGGAAGCTCTTTGCCTCTGTGGCAGGGAATCTTGATGTTGATGGGCACGTCGTGGCTGAACCACGACGTGCCCACGATCGCATGCAACCATGATTGGGCCGCTGTGATGCGAAGTACGTGTGCGCTGGCATGGGCCAGGTTCACGTTCGATGAACCGGGCCTGACCAACAAGGCGTGGAAGGCGTCATGCCACGCCTTGTTGGCCGTTTCACGCGCAAAGCATGCACAATTTCGAACGTTCTCGACTCAGGTGAATTCGCCTTTGAGAATGCTTTGATTTGGTATATTTAAAAACAAATTTCATTTTTGACATAACATAAACGCGGCGCTTATAATTTTACTATATTATAAGCCCACCCCCTAAAAAAAACATGTTTTATTAGTGCCCCCCATGGGGGTATATCCGGGCTATGACGGTACAAACAATTGATGCATCACAAAAATGGTGAATATATGTAGATGTGGAATTTCAATGCTGACATGTTTGGCCCTGTCAATAAAGAACACAGCCTGGATGGACATAGCTACCTAGCACACTCAGGTGCAAAAAGGTGATGGTAGATGAAACATTTACGCAGAACTGTATGATATCATGGAGATTATATACAAGAAAGTGTATGCCATCTACCTACCCATCCAATACCATCGTGGATGCGAAAAAATGTAAAGCAACTGAATTTACAAAAGCATTCTAACGGGCTGTGCCATCTCTGTCTGTGGCGGTTGGTTCGGCTCGCACTAGCTGGTCGATGCGCTCTCAGGCGCCCCGAAAATCACCTCAAGGCATTAGTGACGGTATGTTCGCACTAGCTGGTCGACGCGGCGGCGGCAGAGGGGGCACTGAGTGAGCTGAGCCGCACAGTGCACACAACAGCACATGTGCCCGCACCTGTGCGTGTATGTGGGGGGGGAGAGGGTTGGGAGGATGGATTTGATAAAGAGGAGCGCACAAATGGTTTGGTGCAGGAGAGAGTACAGGGCATGGCAGAATGAGGGGCACTGAGTGAGCTGAGCCGCACAGTGCACACAGCAGCACATGTGCTCGCACCTGTGCGTGTATGTGGGGGGGGAGAGGGGGAGAGGGTGGGGAGCGGGAATGAACGGAGGATCAGAAGTAGTTGAGTGAGAAAAGAGAGTACTTGCGGGAGGGGAAAGGGGAAGAAGAGGAGAGCGGGAATGGTGGAGTGAAGAAGGAAAGAGTACGGGGCAGGGCATTGTGTTTTTGAGTCGACTCATAAGTCACCTCGCAATGAGCACACCGCTTTCAGGTACTGAACAGAACAGAGCATAGGGCATTGAACAACGTACGGGACGAAGACAGAGTTGTATTTCTGCTCCAGGCAGATCACACAGGTGTCGGGCAGCTGAGCTGGCAAGTCCCCGTCAGCTGCTTCCTTGGCTGCATCTGACGTGGCAGGATCGTTTTGGGAGGCTGATGAGTTGCTCTGATCCCTTGCTGCTGACGCTGCTGCTTCCGCCTCTAATACTCTGTGATCCATGCATACATGCAGACATGCAGACATGCATACGTACATGCATGCATGCAGCAACACATACATACATACATGCACACATGCACGCATCCATGCATGCATGCACGCATGCAAGCAAGCAGTAACACGCATGAATGCAGCAGACAGAAACTGCGCAAGGACGCAGGGACTCTAGCTCGCAGCCGACTTTTGAGGCGCCTCAAAATCCGTGTGAACTGAGACGATGCGTTTTGAGGCGCCTCAGTGAGTGCAGCAGACAGAGAATGCGCAAGGCAGCAGGAACTCTAGCTCGCAGCCACAGGCAAGAAATCATCTCCATAGCCCCCGCCAAACTCAAAGCCAATCCAAGTCAACGCAGGTCAATCTATATGCAAGCCACCCCTCACCTCCTCCTGAGGGCGGCCCTCCTCCTCCTCTCCATCACGCCCCCCACAATGCGCCCCACTATCAGCACCGCTCCCACCGCCGTGCACCCATACGACAGCCAGCGGCACCACTGGGAGAAGGTGCCGAGGGAGGCGATGAGGGCATCTAGGGAGCGCGGCGAGACGAAGAATGGGCCGCCCTGGTGCGGCCGCTGCAGCGTGATGCTCCCCCGGTCGTCCCTCACAGCCTGGAGGGATGAGGAGGGAGGAGAGCTGGTTTAGGGTATGAGCCACTGGCAGCACTGGGAGAAGGTGCCGAGAGAGGCGATGAGGGAATGGAAGGAGCGGGGCGCAGCCACTGGCAGCACTGGGAGAAGGTGCTGAGAGAGGCGATGAGGGAATGGAAGGAGCGGGGCGCAGCCACTGGCAGCACTGGGAGAAGGTGCTGAGAGAGGCGATGAGGGAATGGAAGGAGCGGGGCGCAGCCACTGGCAGCACTGGGAGAAGGTGCTGAGAGAGGCGATGAGGGAATGGAAGGAGCGGGGCGCAGCCACTGGCAGCACTGGGAGAAGGTGCTGAGAGAGGCGATGAGGGAATGGAAGGAGCGGGGCGCAGCCACTGGCAGCACTGGGAGAAGGTGCTGAGAGAGGCGATGAGGGAATGGAAGGAGCGGGGCGCAGCCACTGGCAGCACTGGGAGAAGGTGCTGAGAGAGGCGATGAGGGAATGGAAGGAGCGGGGCGCAGCCACTGGCAGCACTGGGAGAAGGTGCTGAGAGAGGCGATGAGGGAATGGAAGGAGCGGGGCGCAGCCACTGGCAGCACTGGGAGAAGGTGCTGAGAGAGGCGGTGAGGGAATGGAAGGAGCGGGGCGCAGCCACTGGCAGCACTGGGAGAAGGTGCTGAGAGAGACGATGAGGGAATGGAAGGAGCGGGGCGCAGCCACTGGCAGCACTGGGAGAAGGTGCTGAGAGAGGCGATGAGGGAATGGAAGGAGCGGGGCGCGGCAAAGAACGGGCCGCGGCAACGAACGGGCCGCCCTGGTGCGGCCGCTGTCAAGGAGCGGGGCTTCCCCGCTCAGCCTGGGGGTTGGAGAGAGCAAAGAGTGGAAACACTGGCCGCGTTTTCTTGCCCATGCCAGTGAGAGGAAAGAGGATGGAAAACACTTGTGGACCGCTCCTCTTACTGCACCTCACATCACTCTGCCTTAACTCACTTCAAATCTCTTCACGCCCTTTTACCGCACATCACCGCATCGTATCTCACCTCACCCACGACAGTGAGGCTGGTGCCCACCGGGAGCACCTTCTCCACTCGCTTCACTCCCAGCACCTTGATGCCCTGGTGGGGTGGGGTGGGGTGGGGTGCAGTGCAGTGGTGGGGCGGGTTGGGGTGGGATGGGGTGGGGTGGGGTTGGGTTGGGTTGGGTTGGTGGAGCAAAGACACAAAGCACCTTCTCCACTCGCTTCACTCCCAGCACATTGATGCCCTGATAATGGGTTGCAGTGGGGTGGGTTGGGGCGGGATGGGGTGGGATGCGGTGTAACGTGGTGCAGTGCAATGTGGATGGTATTTGGTGCGATGTGCAGGGCAGTGTGCAGACGGGTGCACTATGTGTAGAGTAGAGAATCTCACCGCCCTCCCACAAAACCGATTGCCCACCTGATGTGATGACTGTCCACTCCACTGTGCTGTGCCCAAGCAACTTGCCACTGTCACCCACCCCAACCCCGCACGACCCACCTCCAACCGACCCCCAACCCACCCCAACCCCTTCCCACCCACCCCTATTCCTTCTCACTCACTTGCAGGTAGTCCACAGTGCTGCGCACCACCGACCTGCCCCTGTCACCCACCCCACCCCAACCCACCCCAACCCAACCCACCCCAACCCACCCCAACCAACCCATACCCAATCCCTTCCCACCCAGCCCAACCCAGCCGAGCGCCTTCCCACTTACCTGCAGGCAGTCCACAGAGCTGCAAACAACCGACTTGCCGCTGTCATCCATCCTGACCCACCGCAACCCACCCCAACCGCTTCTCGCCCACCTGCAAATAATCCACAGTGCTGCACACAACCGACTTGCCGCTGTCGTCAAACACCTCCGTGCCAACCGTCAGCTCCAAACCTGCTCTGCACCCATCAGGCAGCATCAACCATCCACACTGCACGCCTGCACTCATGACAATCACCCACCTGCAAATAGTCCACAGCGCTGCGCACCACCGCAACCCTTTCCCACCCACCCCAATCCCTTCCCACCCACCTGCAGGTAGTCCACAGTGCTGCGCACCACCGACTTGCCACTGTCATCAAACACCTCCGTGCCCTGCTCTGCCCGCAACAGCCCACTGACCCACCCCAACCGCTTCCCACCCACCTGCAGATAATCAACAGTGCTGCGCACCACCGACTTGCCACTGTCATCAAACACCTCCGTGCCCTGCTCTGCCCGCAACAGCCCACTGACCCACCCCAACCGCTTCCCACCCACCTGCAGATAATCAACAGTGCTGCGCACCACCGACTTGCCACTGTCATCAAACACCTCCGTGCCCTGCTCTGCCCGCAACAGCAGCCCACTGACCCACCCCAACCGCTTCCCACCCACCTGCAGATAATCAACAGTGCTGCGCACCACCGACTTGCCACTGTCGTCAAACACCTCCGTGCCGACCGTCAGCTCCAACCCTGCTGCCGAACGTGCTCCTACCACGTTGGCTCGGCCCGTGCCATCGTCCTGTGGTGGTTAGGCAAGACAAAGCAAGGGGTCTTTGTGATTGACTCACAGTAGACCAACATTGACCAGTGCTGACTCATGTTGACTCACAATGCACCAGAATTGACCGGCGTTGACCAGCATTTTTTTTTTTTTTCTACAATGCATGCATATTCGGAATCTACTCATCAAGAGCTTGCTTTCGGCTCCAGAATTGTGTTCACAAAGCGAACATTGGACTTCCGTCGCTTCTCTTGCAGAATTCCGTTTTCCAGGTTCTTAACTGCATACAAGCTTCACGACATCCAAGATGGCATGAGCAAGCAAAGACAGGTGTAAGTCAGGGTCGGAAATACAAATACAAGGATTCTGTTAAACGTAACATCTTCAGGTTATCAGTTTTTGCCGCCATTCAACGACCTTCAAAGACGGAAATCTTCACACGGGATCAAGCAACATTCGTTCAGCCTTGTGCTTCTTGCCAGAGGACTGGCTGTTTTTGTTTAAGTTCTTCAAGGCAAATCACGTCGACAGCTAGCTCCAGTTCCGGATCAGAGATATTTTACGAAGGAAGGGATAACTTCAAAACGGCAGATCGGGAAGATTTGCTATTTTTCCGCATGGCTACTGAAGCGGCTATCAAAGGAGATCATATATACATGCTCCTGGACGGTTGGAATGAAAAGGAGGACGCTGAAGGCACTAATACGAATAAAGGGAACGGAGGGTCAAGCATTATAGACACCGAGACAGGAAATTCTCAAGAAGCTTCTATGCAACTTCACGACATTAATCTATGGCGTCATGACTTGGTTATGCTGGAGTTAAGAGGAGCGGGTGCATCAGCTGCAGCATTGTTCACTCGCCGTCGTAAGAGAAAGCTACGGAAAGCTGCTGCATCACTGGACCAGAGGTTTCAGTTTCACCCAAGCAAGATTGTGGCCAGAACCACTCTCCACCGCTCTCAAAGTGGTGCAACGACCGGAGCATTCAGATTTCGCCAAAAGAATGAAGGGATCGAGCCCCACAGGAAGCAGGCCAGCAAGTGTGCCAGGGAACTCCCAAACGGGCAGGATGAATTTTTCAGGCGCCTGATTTATAAACCTCCGTAAGGCAACCGCGAGGGTACGGTATGATTGTACCTAGGCCCTCTAGCTCCGGTTACGACCGATGGTGTTTTTGCGTTGTACGTTGTATCTGTCACCTACCCAAAAAAAAAAAAAGAAGCATTGACTCACAATATACAGCCATTGACCAGCGTTGACTCACACTGTACCAGCGTTGACCAGCGTTGACTCACAATGTACCAGCGTTGACCAGCGTTGACTCACAATGTACCAGTCTTGACCAGCGTTGACTCACAATGTACCAGTCTTGACCAGCGTTGACTCACAATGTACCAGCGTTGACCAGCGTTGACTCACAATGCACCAGCGTTGACCAGCGTTGACTCACAATGTACCAGCGTTGACCAGTGTTGACTCACAATGTACCAGCGTTGACCAGCGTTGACTCACAATGTACGAGCGTTGACCAGCGTTGACTCACAATGTACCAGCGTTGACCGGCATTGACTCACAATGCACCAGCGTTGACCAGCGTTGACTCACAATGCACCGGCGTTGACTCACAATGTACCAGGGCACAGACTTCAAATTCCGGATGAGAAACGCTGAGTCCTGCACCCACGCGCCTGCATCATTGTGCTTCAGAAAAAACTGCTCCGCCTGCTCGTCATGGGGAGGGAGAGAAATACACAGGGAAGGGGAAACAAGGGAAAACTTGCTGCAAGAAAGAGAGGGGTGAAGAGATGGGGAGAAGGGACTAAGTGATTGCTTGAACTGTGGGCTGACGTGGCTCACTCACAGTCTGCTCCACGATGACGCCACGTAGGCTGCTGTTCTCGCACGTGATTGGCTGGTCGCTGCCCACTTTGCCTGTGACTGCAACGACCAGAGGAGAATACCCCTTCGTCCCTTGTAGCATCCTTCCTGCAAAGGCGGTGAGAGCACAGACACAGACAGGGCAATGGCAATCTCTTTGTGAGAACCTCAGATTTCGTGACTGCAATGCAACAATCAGAGGGGAATACCCCTTAGTGCCTTTGCAGCATCCTTAATACGGAGATAAAGGCAGCACGGATAGCAGAGCAGAGCAGAGCAGAGACACTGAGGGCACACGAAAGCACAGAGAGCAGCCCGGAAATACAGATGCAGGGAAAAGTCATTGCAGAGAGCGTCATGGGTAGCTTTTTTAGGAATCTAGAATGACGATCAGATGATGCAAAGAGTGTCTTAGCGTTCAAGATAACCCAAGTGAGGGAGGCTGCTTACCGAGCTCTCTCAGCCTGGGCACCCTTGGGACTGCCTTGAGTGACGTGGCCTCCCTGCAATGATTCACAAAAAGAAAATACCGTACTCATAAAAGGGTCAACTATGTGTTCATGTTATAAGGTGCCGTACGGAAGCCAAATAAGGGGGGTCAATATGTGTACACGTTATGAGGTGGCTTGATATGGTGCTCCGGACCAAACACGTTTATGAAGGGATAGCATGTGGGCTAAGGTGGAAGCATATGGCTTACAGAGTGGAACAACTGTTGAGCACCCAACCCAATAAAGCTTCTGACCCTAAACTTTGCGACCATAGACTATACAACCCTATTCTGCGACCCTGGATTGTGCGACCCTGGACTGTGCGACCATAGACTGTGCGACCATACTAGACTGTGCGACAATAGAGTATGCGACCCTAGACTCTGCGACCGTCGACTGAGAAGGTATTAGGCAAAACATGGAATCACGCATTGGACATGCTGCTATGAGCTATTTTTGAGGCGCCTTAAAAAATCGTCAGTGAAGGTATTAGACACACATGGAATCACGCATGGGGCATGCTGCTATGAACCGACTCACTTTCCGCTTCGCGAGCTCAGCCAATGAAAGGCGAGGCCGCTGGCGCAGGCGAGCACGCCGTCCCAGGGAATACCGCTGCTGACATCGCCGCTCATCGCACACGACCTTGTTACCCTCTCAGTAACGAGTTTGGAGCAGCTTATAACGGGTACAGAGTGAAGCTAACAGCAGCTGAAGATTACAGCAACTAGGAACGGCAACGTCCCCGAAAACCACGCGTTCTCAAGTGCTGGCGCTTCTACAGAGCGTTCAAAGGCGCGTCGAAGCGCTGAACTGTGGGGTTGCTATTCGCGTATTTCATGCAGCGAATTAGGACACACGCTGGGAAGCGAATGGCACGGCGACGGGCAAAGGTAGTCGAACGAGGAAGCAAGAATGGAGGGCAATTTTATGAGTGGGTCCGCCGCCCTAAGGAATGAAACACAGTCTGTCTGCCGTCACATCACGCAACGTCAATGAACTTACTGCCGCTCATTTCCTGCAACATAGTACCTTGTCAGAATAGCGGGGCATCTAATAAAGAAGAAAGTGAGAGTGGTTGTCCTTCCACGTCTTTTGCCTTTTCCCCTTCCGTTGTGCGGGGCAACTGAATTGGACCCAAATATTTCGTAAGTCGTAGCGCGAAGCCATGTGCGTATATTTATGGTTGACAAAGCTTCTACTGTACTCATATGGCTTGCTTGAAATCGGATACACTGAGGGTTTTGTGACAAGCCGAATAGGCGTTGTTAAATAAATGGAACCTCCCTGGAAATTTTACGTCTGACGATTGGCTCAAAGACCGCCTCTGTGGATAGTGACCGTCCGATCTCTCACCATCTCACCTCTGCGGGAACGTCGGATCTACGGCGACTGGCTGGGACCTTGAAATGATTTTCCCGCGCAGACCCTCTGAACCCCAACTTCGAGGTTCTCCCCCCCAACCCATCTCAACTCAACTCGCTGCTTCTAATAAAATATCGTACCCTCTTCGTTCCTCCTACTCCCTTCAACACTACCTCGAGATCACATTTTCGACCCTCGCCCACGTTTTCTGCTCATTTTGATGCCTTGCGTTTCTGTTGCCTTTTCCGCTTTCTCGTTTCCACAGAACGTAAAGCCGGCAGCAGCGGCTGGTCGTTCCGAACGAGCTAACGAAGACATATCGGAGCCGTGCGGTGGAGTAGTAAATCCTCGGGCCTAGTGTTTTTTGTCTCTTGCGGTTTTTTTCTTCCGAAGGACGTATATTCGTGGCTGGCCAGGCGAACGGCGAAGATTCGCTCCTTGTGCGAAGGAGCCCGTTAGAGATGCCACCGTTTACTTTGATAAGCTGAACATTCGTTTTTCTTACTAACCCTAACGTTTTGAAGTGCTCTGTGGGCGTTTTTAAGTCAGGACCCATCCGTTCATTCTCGTCGAGCAGGCTGCTTCTTTCTCGTGTGTCGGTGCTTAATTCGCAACGAGGGGAGATTTTTCGGAGTAACGCAGCGCGTGCGATACGATTTTCCGACAGTACTCGCTGTGAATGTCAGTGCTTTTATTTTACTGATAGTCGCGATTTGCGATGCTCGTCGTGCGTAGAGGGTTCGTGATTCTCGCCGAGCCGCACACCCATCAGGCGTCTGATTAGCGTTGAGAGAGTTCTCCTTTGATTTTGTTGTTTCTTAACTTTCGACGAGCGCTTGTCGTTCTAGCAAGCTGTCCTTGCTGTTTGCGTCATAGAGCAACGTTTTGAGGGTTCCTTGTGGTTGGAGTTTTAGACTTCACTAATTAGGTTATTGTAATGTTTTAACTCGAAGGTACTTCGCGTTTGCTTCTTTCCTCGATTCTCTCTATTGTGCAGACAACGCGTCGAAACGTCATGGATTTGCGAAGCGGATTTTCCTTCGTTCGTCTACACTCCTAAAATAGGACCGTTCTACAGGGACTTCACCTGATTCAATCACTTCCTTAACAAAATATCGCGGAAAAATGGCGGATTCATCGCGGGTCCAGTGTTTTCGTTGTGGTGGTTTCGGTCACTTCTCCCGAAACTGCGTCTGGCCCGGTTTCGGCGGCAGGGGCGGTGCTGGTGGCGGACTACCCCGCAGTCTTCCCCCAGCCGCGCACGCCGCCGCGGTAGGCGACCGCAACGCGCGCGCCCTCTGCGCTGCGTGCGGGCACTTCGGGCACACAGAGGCCAAGTGCGGGCGCGACCTCCCCATGGGTCCCCTCCCGCCGCACCCCATGGGTCCCCACTTCCCCCACCCCGACCTCCACCGCCCTTTCGATCCGCGTTTCCCTGGCGGAGCCATGCCGCGCTGGCCGCGAATTCCGGGATTGGACGACGATCCACGTAGGCTGTACCCCAGGGGCCCTGCTGGTTGGCGCGGGCCTCCTCCTAGAGATGACACGTGGCGACCCGCGCGGCGGGATATACCCGGGAGGGGGGACTATGGCGCGGATGCGGGGGAGCGGGAGGATAGGCGCGGTCCAGGGTGGTTGGAAGAGGCTGAAAGGGGTTTCGCTAGGTCCAGAATGGAGGCTGGGGAGATTCGCGACGAGGAGGCGGGGGAGAGAGCAGGGAGGGGGGGCGACGAGCGATGCAATGGTGGGCAATTTCCCCGGAGGCTAGCGGGAGGCCTTCCCCCTGGGCCGTTGGAGGGGGGGAGCAGCGAATTCAGGCAGCCGCGCAGCAGAGAGCGCAGGGACGGGGATGGCGGAGGGATGGGGGAGTTTGCGGGTGCGTATGATGTGAGGCTGGGGCATGGGCGCGGCGGGGGATTTCCGCATTCTGGTGGCGCATGGGCGGAGGATTTTGTTCCGCTAGGGTGGGGGGATGGGTGGGGCGGGGAGAGCTCGGGGGTGTGGCATGGCGCGCTGGATGCGGGCGCGGGCGGCGCTGGTGGCGGGCCTGGCTGGGGCGCTGGCGCGGATAGGGAGGTGCGCGGGGATGTTCGGGGGGAAGGGCGTGGGGAGTTTTCTGGTAGGCGGGGGGAGCGGGGGAGCTATGGGGGAGCTGAGGACCCTGGGGAGGGCTGGTCGCGGCTCCGGAGGGGGGAGATGGTGGTAGATGAGCGGGAGGGGCGGGAAGGAAGGGCTTATAACGGGTATGAAGAGTGGGAGGGTGTGGAGGGAGAAGGAAGGAGGGGGTGGGGGAGGAGAGGGGTGGAGGGGCAGAGAGAGGAGGTTGAGAAGGGCGAGGTAAGGGAGAGAGGGGATCAAGCGGATGAAGGGGAAGTGGGGGTGGATGAGAGAGAGGAGGGGGAGGATGTGGAAGAGGGATGCGTAGAGGGGTCCGTAGAGGGACGAACGGAGGGAAGAATGGAGGGAAGAATGGAGGGGAGGGAGAGGCCATTATCTTTGTCGCCTAAGAGACGAGCCTCTAAGAGTCCTCTTGAGAATGGGCCTGGATTGAGCGAGCATGGTAGTGAGGCGAGGAAGGAGAGAGAAAAGGGAAGGGGAAAGACGAGAGAGAGCGAGAGGAGGACGAAGGAGGTGGATAAAGAGAAAGAGAAGGAGAAGGAGAATAAGAGGGGGAAGGAGAAGGAAAAGGAGAGGGATAGGGAGAAGGTTAGGGAGAAGGGGAAGGAAAGAGAGAAGGAGAAGGGGAAGGAGAAGGAGAAGGAGGAGAAGGAGAAGGAGAAGGAGAAGGAGAGGGTGAAGGAAGGGGACAGAGTGAAGGATAAAGAGAGGGTGAAGGAGCGAGAAAAAGTGCGGGAGAAGGGGAGAGGTAGGGAAGCCAATGCAGCCACTGCTGCTACCGTTCCAGAGCTAGACAAGGAGCGGGCGAGTAGCAAAGTAGATGCTGAAAGGCCGCAAGAGGAGAAAGCAGAGAGCTTGAAGGACGAATCGGGGGCGTCGCGACCTAGGAAGGAGGATACGGCAGTGGGAGATCTAGTGGCAATGACTATTGAGAAGGTGGATCGTGGTCCTGTGTTGAAGCAACATGTGGATGAGCAGGAGGCTGGCGGTGGAAAGGCTGCTTTGGAGTTGACACACAAGTCACCAGAGGAGAGGGTTGGTGAGAAGGCAGCTATGGAGAGGGCTGCGAGTGAGGTGGTAGTTAGGGATACGATGACTGCTAGTGACACGGGTGCTAGGGAGACGGGTTCAAGTGAGGGAGTAGGTAGGGAAGAAGTTAGTGAAACGAAGGCTAGGGATAAGACTAGTGAGGCAGTAGAAGGCAGGGAACAGGTTAAGGGTGAGAAGGTGACTGAAGCCTGTCTAATTGTACAACGTGAATCATCACCTGTGCCGTCGAGTCGACCTCCAGGTGATTCTTCAGGTGGTAGTTCACCCAAATTACCTGCTAGGCTTGCTTCTGGCAGTGCTGCCTCCGAGCCTGCCACCATACCAGCGGCCAGCATCCCCAAACCTGAGGGAGCTTCCGAGCCTGCCACCGTGTCTGACACCACAGCTTCCGATATGGAGGCGCGGGCTTCCAAGGCTGCTGCTGGCGCCGAGCCTGCTGCGGCTGAGCCTGCACTTGCGGATAGGGTTTCATTGCAGCTCTGCCCCTCGTTCTCCCGCCCGTTTGGTGGGTTTGGAGAAGTGGGGGGTACAGACGGGCCGTGGTGGCCTCCCAATGCTGGGAGAGAGCCTTTAAGTAAGGAGCAAGCAAGTAAAGAGCAAGTGAGTGAAGAGCAAGGGGAACCGGTTGGGGGTAGTGGCCTGGGGGAAGGAGCTCCTGCTAGAGTAGAGGGGGAAGGTGGTGCGGTTGGAGGTGAAGGAGAGGGCGTGACAGGTGGAGATGCAGGGGAGCGCGATGTGGGTAGAAATGAGAGAGGAGAGGGACAGGTGGATGCTGGTGGGGATAAAGGGGGGAAGCAGCTGGGTGATGCAGGGGCTGTGGCACAGGCAGAGGAGGGTACAGCAGGGGCGAATTTGGGTGCAGAAGGGGCGGAGGGAGGGGAAAAAGCGGCTGGAAGGAGTTTAGATCCTTGTAGAGGCGATTGCAGGGAGCTTGAGGCACAGAGGCGTGAGGCTGGAGGAGTTGAGGATGGGAGTGATCAGGCTGGGTGCAACAGAGGGGTGGGTGAACGGAGGCTGGTGGTGGGAGGTCCCGTTGATGGGATGCAATCGGAGGAAGAAGTGCAAGGGAGGGCAGGTATAGAGACAGGGAGGGAAAGGGGTGAGGAAGTGAGGCTTGCAGAAGGTTCGGTGAAAGGAAGGCAAGGGGGAGAAGAAGATCAGGCGCGGAGGGATGCTGCTTCTTCTTCTGCTGCTGCTTGTACTGCTTCTGGTGCTGTTGCTGTTGCTGCTGCGGCGACTGCTGTTGCTGTTTCTGCTGAAGGTGTCGAGAGGAATGAAGTGGAGTGTAGGGAGGCGGAGAAGGATGGTGGCTCAGGTGCTGCTGCTGACGCTACTGTTGCTGAGGTGGCAGGTGCTGTTGCAGCAGGAGCCACGGTTGTGACTGATTCTGAGGTGGCAGGTGCTGAGGCGGCATGTCTGGAGGTGGCATCTGTTGAGGTGGCAGGTGCTGAGGTGGTTACTGCGGAGTTGCAGAGTGTGGATGAGAGGGTGGAGAGGTTGATGCAAGGCGTGGTGCTCGTGGCTGGGAAAGAGAAGGACATCATTTTTGGTAAGCTGTCTGTTGGTTTGATAGCTTGCTTGTTTTGAGACGTCTCAAAACTCGTGGCTGGGAAAGAGAAGGACATAATTTTTGGTAAGCTGTCTGTTTGTTTGCCAGCCTGTTTTTTGAGAATTCTCAAAAAAGAGACTAGGCGTGGTGCTCGTCGCTGGGAAAGAGAAGGACATCATCTTTGGTAAGCTGTCTGTTGGTTTGCCAACTTGCTTGCATCTGTTTTTTCCTAACAGTTCTACCATGTTCTACGAATCTAAAAAAGACAAGTTGGTAGTAGTGGACCAGGAGACTTTTGTGTTGACTCAAAAAATCATCTCTATTAACTGGTGGTGGCCAAGGATAAATCGGTGAGCTTGTTGCTGCACCATGCCTCCTCCCTGTGCTATTATTTTGATCATGCATGCTGCCGTATTGTGCTTCATATGAAATTTGCCCTTGTGGCTTCTCTGCTGTTTCTGCGCCAATTCGCATGAGGAACTTATCGCATGAACTTGCTTGCTCTTTCCTTTCTGCAGAGCTGCTGAGTGCAGCAGCAACGTTGGTGGAGGAGCAGTTGGAGAAGGAACTGGGAATCCTGTGCGAACCTGTCGCTGGTACTGGTAAGGTTTTATTTGCAGGTGCAGCAGGCAGGCTGTACTTTGTTGTTATATGTGCTTTAACATTTTTGCCTAGTTACCTTTTGAGTCGACTCAAAAGTCAACTAGGTTTGAGGAGTAGCAGGCAGCACTTTGTTGTTATGTGTGCTTTAACTTTTTTTGCCTGGTTACCGACCCTGTTTCTTCTCCACCCCTTCCTTTCACGTGCCCCGCTTGCAAGTGCCAGTCTCTCCCTTTAAGCGTATGGTGAGCTTCCCAGCCCATGGAGAGGCACAGCAGAGAGCAGCTCGTTGCTGTCTCTGCCTTTGAGCTGCAGGGTGGTTTTGAGAATTCTCAGAAACACCCCACAGCAGAGAGCAGCTCATTGCTGTCTCTGCCTTTGAGCTATTTGCCCAGCTGCCCACTTTCTTCGTCGCCACTCACCTAACCTCTTCCCACCCTTGTCTTCATTCGTCCAGGTGCTCCACTTGCAAGCACTAGTCTCTCCCTTCAAGCGTATGGTGAGCTTCCGAGCCCATTGGGAGGTGCAGCAGGCAGCATGGCAGAGCCATGGGCATTGGATGAGCCGGCTGCAGTGGCTGCTGCAGTGCCTGGAGTGGCTGCGGCACTGGTAGAGGCTGTAGATGCTGCTGCTGGTAGTACTGCTGCCACTGCTGCTGGCCCTGGTGCTAGTGTTGCTGCTGCTGCTGGCATGAGCACCACAGCTGCAGCTGCGGATGGTACCACTGAAACAGCAGAGAGGGGTGCAAGTGCGAGTGCAGGGGGTTTGGAGTTGACTCAAAAGTCAGCTGGAGCAGCGGAGAGGGATGGAGGTGCTGTTACCGGGAGTGGGTTCGGCGGCAGCCGTAGTGAGGTGGAGGAAAGGGCAGGAAATAGATCAGAGGCTGGAGGGACAGAGGCAGCAGAAGCAGGAGCAGCAGAGAAAGGAGCAGCTGCAACAGTGTCTGTAAATGCCCCTCTGGGGTCATCACTAGGTGTAGCTGCTGCTGCTGCTGCTGCTGCTGCTGCTGCTGCTGCTGCTGCTGCTGCTGCTGCTCCTGCCCCTGCTGCTGCTGTAAGCGTTACAGCCCCTGATGCCATTGCTGGTGCTGATCCTGCCGCTTATCCTGCTGCCGGTGCTGCTGCTGGTACTGGTGAGGGTGTTGTGGCTCGTGATAGGGTGGAGGAGCAGAGGTGGACTGGGTCTTGGCTCAGGGGATGTGATTGGATCCGATTCTCTGATAGCCAGGCGCTTAGCGAGCGAGTAGACGTTTCAAGGAAGCTTCCTGTAGGGTTAGGGTTAGGGTTAGGGTCAGGTTTAGGGTTAGGGTTAGGGTTTGGACAGAGGGCTTTGCAGGGGTTTTGCTTGGGTGACTGGCCGAGGGAGAAAGCTCGTGATCCTAGGATTCTTTCGAGTCAGAGTCGTGAGGAGAAATCTAACTTCAGCACTATGACTATACCAGCTTGGGCTTATAGCGGGGCTGTGGCTGTGGACAAGGAAGGGTCTGGGCGGGCTCTGATTGGAGGAATAGGAACGGGAGTAGCGCAGGGGAGAACGCCGGGGAAGCAGCAGCAGCAGTCACAGCAGCAGCCAGAACAATCGCAGCAGCATCGAGTGGAGGAAGGGGGAGGATCGAAAGTGGTAGAAGCAAAGGAAGGACTGAAACCAGCAGAAGCGACTTTGTCTATGGATTCAGGATCTAAGTCCCCCTCATGCAGCCCATTGTCTCAGGCGTCCACCAGGCGAGGCTCGTCCCTCTCCCTGCAAGCAGCAGGCTCCTCTGTTTCGCTGCAGGGCGCGAGGGAGTCAGGGGTTGACATGGCTGCTGCTGCTGCGGAGCTGGTAATGCGGAATGCGCTCTTGGTTCAGCAGTTTGGCCTGGCGATCCTGGGAGAAGGTGAACCTGAAACTGTAACTGGAAACGAACCTGGTGTCAAGCCTGGTGCTGAACCTGATGCAGAACGTGCGGCCAGAGTCGAACCGAAGCTGGAGTTAGCTTCTCAGGGTGAGGGTGCTGAAGAGAAGTTTGGGAGAGAGAGGCATGCTGGGACGGTGGAGAGCGGTGCTGTGGTTCAAGGGGAGGTACCAGGGTCAGCAGCTACAGGAGCAGCAGCAGCAGAGGCAGGAGCAGGCACACGAGAAGCAGGAGGAGCAGGAGAAGAAGGAAAAGGGGCAGGAGAAGCAGGGGCTGCTGTTGGGGCTGTGCGCGAAAGAAATGGGGGAGGAGGAGAGGCGAATGGGGTGGGGCGAGAGGGAGAGAAGGGCAAACCCAGGGAGGTGGATGGTGGTGCCGACTTTGGTCGCATTTTCAACCTGCTGACGGCTCAACTGGAGCAGCAGCACATGCATTCGCTACAGCAAGACTTGTTAGTGGAAAAGGACTCGAAACACGAGGGAACGTGCATGGAGGAAGCATTTTCAGATGCGCAGGGAGAGCTAGGAGCGGAGGGAGGGCAGGGCGGGAGCAGCTCAGTTGCTGTCCCGAGGTTTGTTCCTTTCGCTCTGAACGTTTCTCCCTTGGGGGAGGCGAGTGGAGACGAGAAGGAGGGCGAAACTGAGAGTGAGAGTGAGAGTGAGAGTGAGAGGAGTGATGGTGGTGAGCTTGGTGGGTCGGCCCAGGCTGCTCTCAGGGAGGCTGGGGCAATGGCAGAAGAGGAAAGGAGAGGAATGGAGTTGCGGACTGAGGCAGGAACTGAAGTGCGGGTTGGTGAAGCTGAGAGCAATGGACTGTCTGGCGTGGGAGCTGGAGGGAAGCTTGGCAGTGGCGGTGGTGGTGGTGATGGTGGGTCTGACCTACAGACCCATAGCTCTATGGAGGTTGACGGTGGTGCTGCTGTTCGAAAGGATCCTGCCAGAGACGGAGAGAAGAATGCCGGGAAGGTTTGTGCTGGTCGGGATGGGGGAGTGGGGTTTGGAGAAGGCGAGGAGAGGGAGGAGCGAGGGAAGGAGACCGAGGAGGGAGGAAAGGGCGAGGAGCAGGAGAGAGAGGGAGGAATGGGGGGTAAGGAGTCAGGGGAGGATAGGTTTGGTGGAGAGAAGGAGAATCTGGTTAAGATGCAGGCAAGAGAAGAGAGGGAGGGGAGGAGGGAAGATGGGGTAGCTGTTGATGGAGAGAGCACGGTGGTGTCAATCGAAGGGGTGCGTGCAGCTGTTGCTGCTGCAGTGGAACCAGTTAGTGGCATGCAAGCAGCAAGTGTAGGGTTACCAGCAGCTACAATGACGCCTGCTGCGCCTCTGAATGCTGTGTCTGATGCTCGCGTTTCTTCTAACTCTGAGCCTGCTGCTGAAGTGAAAGGCAAAGCACCAGGTTCTTCAGAAGCTTTGCAGCAGGAGAAGGGAGCTGTTGTTGCTACTGCTGCTACTGCAAGAGCAGCTGATGTGGGGATCCCTGCCGCAGAAGCTTTACCAGCTGAAACTGTATCTGCTGAGGCTGTAGCGGCCGAAGCTGGGGCTGTAGCAGGTGGAGTTGCAACTGCCAAGGCAGCACCCGCGGAGTCTGTTGCTGCCAATGAAGCAGATGCTAAGGCTGCTGCGTGTGCACAAGTGGTATCTGCTGACCGTATAGCTGCTGCTGCTGATGGGGTGACTGGTTGGACAGAGAAAAACACAGAGGTAGGCGGAGAGAGGAAGCAGGGAGTAGGGGATAGTGGTGAGGGAAGAAGTGATTCAGTGGATGGCATTAGGGAGAGGAGAGGAGCTGAAGCGGGTACAGAAGATGGAGAGGAGGAAGGGGCGAGTCTGGAAGGTGCTGCCTCTCGTTCTCATGATCTTCCACAGCTGCAGGTGGAGCAGCAGGAACAGCACGAGGAGGAGGCGGAGGAGGCGGAGGAGAAGGAGGAAGGGGAGGAGAAAGGGGAGAAGGACGGGGAGGAGGAAAAAGAGCAACAGAAGGACAAGCAGCAGCAGCAGCAGCGGTGGTTGCAGGTGCCATCTGATCTGTTTTGGAACCGCAATGCAGCAAAGGCAGGTCCGGTACTTAGGTCTCTCTTCCCAGGCATATTCACCACTAAGGGGCGCTTACCTAAGCAACATTTTCTCAAGGGAAACTGGTACTACCGGGACGGTATGGGCAAGGAGCAGGGCGGGGTGTCATTCACGCGCCTGCAATGGATGGTCAGTGCAGGGTTGCTGGTGGAAGGAACGAGTGTGTGGCGCAAAGAGGACGACCTCTGGCTCCCTGTGGTGAAGCTCGCCCTGCTCACGCCCTACTTGTCACAGTTGCAGGACCCTGCGTTTGTTTTCGCCCTCGGGCTGAGATTAGGGTTAGGGTTAGGGTTGGGTGTGGCCCCGCAGGTGCCTATGGCTCGGGATGGGTACCCCCTGGTGGTTCCGGGGTTGGATGGGGCGGAAAAGGGGGTGGTGTTGCGTGGGCCAGTGTTTGCTGCTGGTGGAGGCAGGGAGGGAGTGGTGGAGGAGGAGGATTGGGACCCTAGGCTGGACCGAGGGGTTACGGTGGATGCAGGGAGCGGGAAACGCAGTTTGGTGGGGCAAAAGGAGGGGAGGGATAGGGCTGAGAGGGGGGTGGTGTTGCGTGGGAAGGTGTTAGCTGCTGCTGGCGGCAGGGAGGGAGTGGTGGAGGAGGAGGATTGGGACCCTAGGTTGGACCGAGGGGTTACAGTGGAATCAGGGAGGGGGAAACGCAGTTTGGTGGGGCAAAAGGAGGGCAGGGAGGTGAGGGAAAGGAGGGATGGGAGGGAGAAGAGTGGGGGCAGGGAGGGGGTAGAGATGGAGGGGCGTTGGGAGGATGTTGCTAGGGAGGGTGGCAGAGAGATGGTCTTGGTGAGGAGTGCTGGGAGGGAGGAGCTCGTGGGTGATGGGGGTCGAGGGGATGGAGATGGGGATTCAGAGGATGGGGATGGGGATGGGGTTGGAGATGGGGTTGGTGATGGGGTTGGGGATGGGGTTGGTGATGGGGTTGGGGATGGGGTTGGGGATGGGGTTGGGGTGGGGGATGGGCTAGCGATATTGGTGCAGGCTGGGCTGCAGTCTGCCGCATTAAGAGCTACTCCAGAACCAGATAGTAGACTACAATGTGGGAAACGTCTGAATGATATGGGTAGGGGTTGCAAGGACGAGGAGGTGGAGGAGGGGGAGGAAACGTGGGAGAGGATTGGGTTGATTGGGGAGATGGAGGGGAAGGTGGGAGGTGAGGGAACGGGGGAGAGGATTGGGGGGATGGAGAGGGGGGTGGGAAGTGGGGATTGTGAGAAGATGGAAGGAGCAGAGGCGGAGGGGATAGGGGAGGGGATGATGGAGGGAGTAGGGGAGGGGATGGGGGAGGCGGAGCAAGGGGTGGGGCATGGTCTGCTGTTTCTTGCAGCAGCATGGGAGTCGGTAGGTGGGGAAGTGGGTATGGGAGGGGAGAAGGAGGAGAAGGGAGAGGGGCAGGAAGAGGAGAAAGCAGAGGAGCAGGCAGAGGGGCAGGCAGGCAAGAAGGCAGGGGAAGAGGCAGAGGAGAAAGAAGGGGAGAAGGGCGGGGAGAAGGGGCAGCAAGAAAGACCACTCGGGGAGGAAGGTTCTGTTTCTGACTGTGTCCAAGGACCAAGGGGTGCTGGCAGTGGTGGGTCATCCTGTCCTCTAGTGGAGGGGGCTGCAGCAGCAAGGGGAAGAGGAAAAGAGGATCTGACTATGGGAAATTTAAAAAAGGAGTCAGCTGGGAAGGGGGAGACGGAGGCGGGTGATAGCAGTGCTGTAGATTTGGATGCTGCCTCAGGGTTGGGTATCGAAGGAAGGGTGGGTACGGGTGCAGGAGAGGGGCCAATGGGTGGAGGTGCAGGCACTGTAACAGCAGCAACAGCAGCAGCAACAGCAGCAGCAGTAGCAGTAGCAGCAGCAGCAGCAGGTGCTGGCACTGTAGCATCAGCTGATGGTGGAGCGATGCTGGTTGGGGGTTCAACAGCAGGGGCTTTCTCAGGGTGTCTGCCCGAAGTGGGGCAGGAAAAAGATTTTCTCGAGCTGCCACAGAAAAGTCTGGCTGATGTGGGAAAGGAGAAGGATTTTGTTGAAATGCCGTTCAGCCGCTACTCCCGTCGCAGAACCATGGGAGTTGTTAAAGCCCATGTGCATGCCAGTGCCCCTCTTGGCCCCTCCGTAGCCTCTCATGTGATCCCTACAGCCTCTGTTCCAGCTCCCACTACTGAGGTCGTTGCCTCTGATTTGTTTGGTGCAGCTAGCGCTAAGTCTTCAGGTTTTGGTGCTGCTGCTTCCTCCGTTACAGTCACAGCAACCGAGGGGATACTAGGGAATCGCAGCAAGACGGAGGGGGAGGATGTGACTGAAAAGGAGGTGATAACCCTCCTCTCCTCAGGCCTCGTTAGTCCAGACCCCATTCGTGAGCCTGTTCTTTCTACGGGGCGCTGTGGGGGGGAGGGTGGGGAAGATACTACTGGTGAAGGTACAACTGGTGCAGGTGCATGTGAGGGGCTCGGATGGAGGTATCACCACTCCATCCATCCTTGCCGCCAGAGCATTGGGGGTTCTGCGCCTGGGGAGAGTGAGCATGGGGAAGATTTGCCTGGGGGTGGTCTGCCTGTGGACGGTTTGCCTGGGGAGAGTGTGCCTGGGGTCGGTTTGCCTGGGGGCGGTCTGCCTGGAGGCGGTTTGCCTGGGGACGGTTTACCTGGGGACGTTGTGCCTGTGGGGTGTGCTCGTGTGGGGTGTGGAGGGGAGGGGAAGGCGGGGGAAGGAGATCAGAGTGAGGGTGTGTGTTATGGTGGAAGGATGGATGGGGGAATGGGGGGCAGGATGGAGATGGATGGGCATGAGGCCTCAGGATGGGGACGCAGGGGACAAAGAGAGGTGGGAAGCAGAGAGGAGGGAAATGGAGAGGAGGGGCACAGAGAGGAGGGGCATGGAGAGAAGGAAGTGTGTCCGGACGAGCGGCATGCAGAAGGGGAGCAGCAGTACGAATCAATACCACATGAGTATAAGCCGTGGGTAGGGCCAGGAGTTGGGTGGGCGGACAGTAGAGGGCTGTCAGATGCAGATGACTCACGTGTGGCCACTCCAGAGCTGGCAGGGGCAGCTGCGCTCACCACTCTTGAGGTTTTGCCTCAAAGGCCACACGAGTACAAGGCATGGGCAGTGCCAGGAGGGTGGGGGGATGGTAGGGGTTTGTCAGACGCAGATGACTCACGTGTGGCTACTCCAGAGCTGGCAGGGGCAGCTGCTCTCACCATGCTGCTTCCCTCTGCTGAGATGTTTGAGCTGACTCACAACAGGTCACCGCTGACTCACAACAGGTCACCGCTGACGCACAGCAGGTCACCGCTAACTCAGAACAGGTCACCACTGACTCACAACAGGTCACCGCTGAGTCACAACAGGTCACCACTGATTTACAAGTCACCATTGACTCACAAATCACCGTTCATGGAGTCGATTCACAAGTCACCGTTGGTTGACGCAGCTCACGAGTCACCAATGGTGGAGTCGACTCACAAGTCACCTGCTGCTGTGGTCACTGTGCGGCTAGCAGCAGAGCAGGGAGAGGCAGGTAAGGTGGGAGCTCGCAAGGCAAAAGGAGAGCCCGCAGAGTTGAGAGCTGGAGGAGGAGGAGAGGCAGGAGAGGGAGGAGATGAAGGGGAAGCTGCGTGCATTGGTGAATTCAAGGCTGGCTGTGCCTCACTTGCTACGGCTGCGACTGCTGCGCGTGCTGATGGTGTCGCTTCAGCTTCCGCCAGTGTTGGTGTTAACCCTGCTTTGAAAGCGGACGTGGAATCACAAGGCTTCCGGAAAGATGCTGAAGGATTGGCTGGGGCAGCTGGAGGAGATGGGTTAGGAATAGGGAAGGGGGAGACGAAGCAGGGTGGGCAGAAGCAAGGAGAGGAGAAGCGGGGAGAGACGAAGCAAGAGAAGGAGGAACAAGAGGAGGAAGGGGACAGAGAGTCAGGGGAACTGGGGGAGTTTGCGGTTTGTGGCACTGACGGCAGTGGTGCAGCTGATGGTGCTGGCGGTTGTGGTGTGGGTGCTGGTGGTGTTGCCGGTGGTGGTGCGGGTGGTGGTGGTAATGCCGGTGGCGGTGCTGGTGGTAATGCTGGTGCTGGTGCTGGTGGTGGTGCTGGTCGTAATGCTGGTGGTGGTGCTGGTCGTAATGCTGGTGGTGGTGCTGGTCGTAATGCTGGTGGTGCAGATGGAATGAGTGTACCGCGAGAGAAAAGCAGCGGGTCAGCCGCTGCCGCTGCTTCACGGGATGGGGGAGGAGCAGCAGAGAAACAGGGGCGTAAGGCACAGGGGCGGAAGGCACAGGAACGGGAGGAAGCACAGGGGCGGAAGGCACAGGAACGGGAGGAAGCACAGGGGCGGAAGGCACAGGAACGGGAGGAAGCACAGGGGCGGAAGGCACAGGAACGGGAGGAAGCACAGGGGCGGAAGGCACAGGAACGGGAGGAAGCACAGGGGCGGAAGGCACAGGAACGGGAGGAAGCACAGGGGCGGAAGGCACAGGAACGGGAGGAAGCACAGGGGCGGAAGGCACAGGAACGGGAGGAAGCACAGGGGCGGAAGGCACAAGGACGGGAGGAGGCAGCACAGGGGCGAGGTAAGCAGCAGCAGCAGCGCAGCCCCATCACCCACCGGAGCCCCCTCATTCAACGCTTACAGCAGCAACACACGCAGTCCCCTAGAAGCATGTCTCTGGAATCCGGGGAGGTGTTACCTGGGGACACCATATCAGGAGGCGTAGACTCCCCTGTTTCTTGCGGCGCCAAACCCACAGTTCGGAAAGGGGCGAAAGAGGAAGAGGAAGGGGAGGAGGCAGAGGAAGGGGAGGATGCAGAGGAGATACCCCGTGACCGGGCCTGTGGGCGTATTCGTGGCTCCTTGACTGCCCTATCTGCCCCTCCTGACCCTCCTGGCGCGTCTGACCCTTCTGCTCCGTCTGCTCGGTCTACCCTGCCTGTTTCGGTTCGGAAGCCTGTGGAGGTAGGGTTTCCGTACCTGCAGTCGTCGTTCTGGGTGCTGCCTTCTGCTTCGGTGGGGCGGGAGGTGCTGCCTCTCATTCTGCCTGCGCAGCTGGGAGGAGGGGCTGCGCTGGCAGTCACTCGAGCAGCAGCAGCAGAGGAGGAGGAGGAGCAGGAGAGGCAGGGAGGTTATGAGGGGCAGATGCGGCAGAGGCAGGGGGAGCAGCAGCATGTAGCTGCGGCAGCGGGGAAAGAGTTGGCCTTTGCCGCTGTGTCGAGTCATCCTGTGGAGGGGACAGGTTTGGAAGGACACGCAGTTGTAAGTGCAGGGGGCGAGCTTACAGCCTTACAGATGGTGTCCGTAATTCCATCATCAGAAGCTGCAACTGCAGCTGCAGCTGCCACAGCAGCCGCAGCGGCAACAGCAGCAGCAGAAGAAGAAATTCTGAAGGAAGTTGCTAGAAAAGCTGGCTGCTGTGACGGCTGGCAGTCAGCTTGCGGGCTTAGCTTCTTTGCTTATGTCCGATCCAAACTGCATGATGCAGCTTTGGCTGCTTTCCGAGCCAAGATCGCCAAGGCTGCACTTGCCGAGGCTCTGGATCGGTTCCTGGCCACTGGGAGCGCCGAGCTGCCTGGACCTGCTCCCGAACCTCTGCCACAGGGTCGGAGTGCAGGTGGGGCGCTAATCGGTCAGGTACGGAGGCAGGAGGTAGAGGATCGGGACGAAGTGGGGAGGAGGGACAATAAGGTTGGAAGAAAGCGGGAGGAGGAGGGAGATGTAGTGTTCAGGGAACGGCAAAAAATGAAGAGCCAGCAGGAGTTGTATAAAACGAAGGGTGGAGAGTCGAGGAAGAGACAGCGGGGGGCAGGAGAAGGGGCAGCAGGGGTAGGTGGGGCGGGTACGGCGGGTGGGGCAGGTGGAGCACTGAAAGGGCTTCCTGCAGTGAGAAGGAGGAGATTCCTGATGGGAGGAGACAGCAGCGATTCAGAGGAGGACCAAGGAGTGGCGGCAGTAGAGGCTCGGAAGAGGGTGAAGCAGGAGGAGGGCGCGCAGGGAGGAAGGGAGCGGCAGAGGAAGGGGTTGGGACAAGAGGTGGCTGTTGAGGGGAAGGGAGAGAAGATGGAAGGGAAGGAGAGGAGGGTGGTGAAACGGGAGTGGGAGCAGGAGGAGGAGCGGGTGGCGATGCAGCAGGGGAAGGCAGGGAGGAGTGGGAGAGAGGGGAATGAGGGGAGGCAGATGCAACAGCTCGTTGCAGGCCCAGGGGAGGATGGAGGTGGTTCAGGTGCTGCTGCTGCTGTTGATGCCTCTGCTGCTGCCACTGGTGCTGCTGCTGTTGGTCTTCCTGTCGATCACATGGCAATTCCTGGGCCGTTGATGGGTGTGAAGGTGGAGCCAGAATTGGTGGGAGAAGCAGGGGTCGTTGGGCTTTCAGGTGAACCGTCAGGTGGTTTTTCAGGTGATGTGAAGCCGGACAGGAGGTTGCCAGCAGGGACGGTACAGAGAAGGGGTTTCGAGTATGGAGAGACAGAACCAATCATCCTTCCAGACCCCCTGGCGAAGCTTCTTAGTGCCGCCGTACATCCAGATGCATTGAATCCGGCCGATACGCTTTCTCTGCCGCCTCGTTCCGAAACACAGAAGGACCTCCAAACACAGGCCAGCGTAGAGCCGCAAGAGCTGGTAGTCCTTACAGCACACCAGACTTCTGAGGGGCCTCAAGCACCACTTCAAACACAGTCGAATGTGGGCTTGGCAGAGCTACTTCTGGGGGGGCTGAAGGGCGATGCTGCTCTGCTGGCACGCTGTGCTGTGGTGTGCCGTGCATGGTGTGAAGCCTTCCGGCGAGTGTGGCGGGGGCTACAGCTGCTGGATCTGTCCAGCCTTGGGGCTCGCGTGCAGGACTCTGCTCTTGTAGCATTGGGGGTACGTAGCTCCTGTTCTCGTGCATGCTGTGGTGTGCCCTGTGTGGAATGAGGCCTTAGGGAGAGTGTGGCAGGGGCTGCAGCTGCTGGATTTGTCCAGCCTTGGGGCCCATGTGCAGGACTCTGCTCTTGTATCGTTGGGGGTATGTAGCTCCTTCACTACCTTTTAGATTGCTGGAGGTATGTTTAAGTCAATGACACTTAAAGTGAACACAGGACTGAGGTACCTTGCTCTTCGTGCCGCCCCCTCTCGCTTTGCATCTCTTCTGTTAGCCTGCCCTGCTTGCTTGTCGCTTCTCGCCATTCCTTCCTTGCTCCCTCCCGCTTCTCGCTCGTCTGATTCTTCCCCTCCCTCCTTCACCAGTTTCTCAACTCTTCCCTCCCACCCCTATCCAACCCCGACCCCATCTCAATCCCCATGTTCCCCATTCTCAGAAGTCCGCCCCACAACTTCTCCAAGCGCTCTCACTCGCCCACTGCACCGCTCTCACCCCCACCGCTCTCCACCGCTTCCTTTCCTCTCGCCCATCCCTCTCTGCCGTCATCATCACTGGTTGCCCCCGACTCGCCCCTCTCGCCGCCTCCTTCCCACACCTCCTCTTCCTCACCCTCTCACCTGCACGCACACTTGTCCAAGTCTCTCCAAACCAGAAACTGAGTGCCTTTGGTGCTTCGGCTCCTGCTCCCGCTCCGAATTTCTCTGTTGCTGCTGCTGCGTCTGAAATGGTGCCTCCTGCTGCTGCTGCTCCTGCTGCCACTGCCACTGCTGCTGCTCCTGCTGCTGTTTCCCCTGGGCGGCCCAGGCCCCCACGAGGAGCCCCACTGGCAGCAGCAGCAGCAGCGTCACTGGCCAGGGCAATCGCAGCAGCCAATGTGGATGGGCGGTCGCAGAAGGGGGGTGCCCGAGCTTCTGGGGGGGGTGGAAGGGCAGCAGGAGGGGGAGTCTCACGTGGTGCTGCTGGCGCTGGTGCCGGTGCTGCCCGTGGTGCTGCTGGTGCTGCTGCTGCTGCTGCTGCTGCTGGTGTTGCTGCTGGTGGTGGTGGTGCTGGTGGCAAGAGGTTGGGTAGAGGAGCAGGGGGAGGGTTGGGGACTGGAGGGAGTATGGCTCATCTGCCTGTTGCTTCATCGAATGCAGGCAGTGGTCAGTCCAGTGCCGCTGCTGCTGCTGCCTCTGCTGATTCCGGGGGGAGAAGCCATGGGAATGCAGGCAGGGTAGGCGCAGGAGGAGCAGGGGGGGCAGCGGGAGCAGGTGGGGCAAGGGGAGCAGGAGCAGGGGGAGCAGGAGGGTTGGGGGGCGGAGAGAGGGGTTGGGAGAGGAGGGGCGTGGAGAGACGGAGGGAGACAGATGGGGATGGGAAGTGGGGGAAGGACAGGCAAAGGGGGGGCATGGAAGGGGCGGGTAAGGACAGAGGCAGGTCGGATCTACAGCAAGAGAGGAAGAAGGGCGGCATGCTGCCGCCCACTGGGGGGCGGCTGTCCCTCAAATCCAGCTCAGGACAGGGCGCGCCAGGGGGAGGTAGACCTGGGGCAGGGCGGACTGGCGCAGGGGGAGGAGCCAGTGGGGGAGGAGGCTGGGGGGCGGGGGGGCAGGCGGGGGCAGGGGGGAGAGGGGGCGGAGGGGGAGGGGTGGGGGAGAGGAGGGAAGGGTTCAGGTCGCCGCCTGCAGTGGGGAGGGGGTTAGGGAGGGGGGATATGGAGGGGGAGGCGGTGCGAGTGCTAGAGAGGGAGATAGGGGGGGCCATTCGCAGGCTGCAAGAGTGGGACAAGCAACACTACTTCTCCAGGGGGATTCTGCTGGTACGTGTGATTCAAGTCCCGCTTTGCCAATTTTTCTGTGTTCGTTCTTTTCATTTCTTTCTTTCTTTCTTTCTTTTCTTTCTTTCTTTCTTTCTTTCCTTCCTTCCTTCCTTCCTTCCTTCCTTCCTTCCTTCCTTCCTTCCTTCCTTCCTTCCTTGCTTTCTTTCTTCCTTCCTTCCTTCCTTCCTTCCTTCGTTCCTTCCTTCCTTCCTTCCTTCCTTCCTTCCTTCCTTCCTTCCTTCCTTCCTTCCTTCCTTCCTTCCTTCCTTCCTTCCTTCCTTCCTTCCTTCCTTCCTTCCTTCCTTCCTTCCTTCCTTCCTTCCTTCCTTCCTTTCTTTCTTTCTTTCTTTCCTTATTTGCTCTTCAGGAGAGTCCGTTGCGTTGATGCACTTATGCCATAATTGACTGCCCTGACTACAAAATTCTGGTTGTCATTTTCTTGTGAATCTCCTCTCCACAATTCCAACCACAGGATGCAGCACCAGGCGCAGCAGTAGGAAGTGGGGCCGGTCGCAAGGGGCGACTCTCCTTGGATCTGCCCACTCTGGAGAGGCGGTTGAAGGAGGGCGTGTACAGTGACGCTTCTGGCTCCGCTGCTGCCATTGCCCGTGCCGCTGCTTCGACTGGAACCACTGCAGCAGGAGGAGGAGGAGGAGCAGGGGGGAGTGCAGGGGGTGCCTTGACAGCAGTGGGAGGAGCAGGGTTGGCTGGTGGTTCTGCAGTGGTAGGGAGTGCAGCGGCAGTGGCGGCGGCGGCGGTGGCAATGGGTGTGAGGGTGAACGGGCTCGCTCGATTCGAGAGTGACATTCAGCTCATGTGTCGCAGCGTGTTCACGTGAGTCGCGGGTTTTTACTCGAGTGTGTCCGTTTTGTTGATTCATAAACTCTGTAAATTCTGGATCACACTCTGCACATGACAAGCTTTTGTGTTTCCCTCTGTTTATCGCCTGTGCTCCCCTCCCCCCTCTTTCCGGTTTCATTCTGTGCAGTGGTGTGAGGGAGAAGTAAATCACCAGATTTCCTGCCGGCCCCTTTTGAGTCGACTCAAAAGTCAAAAGTCACCTTTTGAGTCGACTCAAAAGTCAAAAGTCACCTTTTGAGTCGACTCAAAAGTCAAAAGTCATCTTTTGAGTCGACTCAAAAGTCAAAAGTCACCTTTTGAGTCGACTCAAAAGTCAAAAGTCACCTTTTGAGTCGACTCAAAAGTCAAAAGTCACCTTTTGAGTCGACTCAAAAGTCAAAAGTCACCTTTTGAGTCGACTCAAAAGTCAAAAGTCACCTTTTGAGTCGACTCAAAAGTCAAAAGTCACATTTTGAGTCGACTCAAAAGTCACAAGTCACCTTTTGAGTCGACTCAAAAGTGGTGTGAGTGAGAAGTAAATCACCAGATTTCCTGCCGGCCCCTCCCTTGATGCCCCCTTTCCCCCATTCCCCTTTGTAACTCGCTTGCAGCAACGTGAATGACAAGTCCCCGATGTATCGAGCAGCGCGCCAACTCTTCGCTCTCAGCCGTTCCACCATCGACGGCATCAAGACCAGCTTTCTCACCTCCCTCCTCCCTTCCCCCTTATCAATTGATGTGCAGCAACGTGAATGACAAGTTCCCCATGTATCGAGCAGCACACCACCATCAACGTCATCAAGACCAGCTTCCTCACCTCCCTTGCCCTTTCTTCCCTCCTTTTCCCCCCCTCTCCCTTACTCCTGTCCCGTTTCACTGTATGCAGCAACGTGAATGAGAAGTCCCCCATGTATCGGGCAGCGCGCCAACTCTTCGCTCTCAGCCGTTCCACCATCGACGGCATTAAGACCAGCTTTCTCACCGCCCTTGCGGCGACACATATGGCTTCCAGTGATCGCCCTGCTTCTGCTTCTGCTGCTGCTGGCAGCAGTTTTGGAGGTGCTGGTGGTGGTTTCAGTGGTGCGAGTGGGGTAGGGGCTGGGTCTCGAATGGTGTTGGGGAGGGGGAATGGGCCTGTTTCTGCGAGAACTGGAGGGAAGAGGGTGAGAGAGGGAGCAGGGGTGAGACGAGTGAGTAAGAGGAGGAAGAGTGTCGCTGATTCGGATAGCAGTGGGTATCAGAGTGATTCGGAGGAGGAGGGGAGGTTTGGGTATGAGATGGAGGAGGAGGAGTGGAAGGGAGATTCGGGCCGAAACATCTGGTCAGAATCAGAAGAGGAGGACGAGGAGGAGGAGGATGAAGAGGAGGAGGAGGAGGAAGGAGAAGAGAGAGGGGATTCGGACTTGGACGAATTCGAATCGGCGGAGGAGGAAGGTTCTGATGCAGGTTCCGAGACCAAGAAAGCTGCAGCAGCCGCAGCTGCCGCCGCTGCTACAGCTGAAGTCGCAACCACTAAGGTGAAACTCGGGAAACTGCAATCAAAAACTGGTGGACGCAGGGGAACCGAAACAGCCCACGGTGCTGCCAGCAAAGCGAAGCACACCCCAGCTAACGGTGGCGGACATGGTATCAGAGCAGGCCGTGCTGACTCCTCCTCTCCCTCCTCTCCTGCCACCCCAGCCACCTCGGGCACCTCTTCTCCCTCAGCCTCCTCCCCCGCCTCCTCTGCTTCAGAGGGAGAGGAGGAGCCTGAGAGTGAGTCAGGCTCAGATGCCCAGTCGTCTTGCTCCCTGGGTGGGTCTGTGCGGCCTGTGGGAGGGAGCCGGAAGGGAGGGAAGCAGGTGAAAGGGAGGGAAGGGAGGCGGCGGAAGCAGCAGCGGCAGCAGAAGAAGCGGAGGAGGAAGGAGGAGGAGGAGGGCAGCGAGCAGGGCGGGAAAAGCAAGGGGAGGGGCAGGGGAGCGAAACGAGAGGAGCGGACGGGGAGGAGGAAGGGAGAAGGGGCGGAGGCGAGGGGAGGAGAGCGGAAGGGCCGGGTCCGCACCAGTGCTGGTACAGCCAGTGCCGGCGGCGCCGCCGCCGCTGCCGCTGGGAGCAAATCCGACAACTCAAAGGCAGGCCGGGCAGGGGAAGAAGAAGAGGCAGGCGAAACCTCCTCCTCCTCCTCCTCCTCTTCCTCCTCAGAAGGGTCTAAGGGATCGGGTCCTGTGGTGGTGGTGAATGTGGCTGATGAGGAGATGAGGAGACATTGGGGGAACAGGATGACAAGGGCCGCCATGGTGCCGCCAGTGACTCGGCAGTACGAGGTGGTTGAGGAGTATGTGATTGTGGAGGAGGAGGAGGGCGTGCGGAGGAAGATGCGCGTGGAGCTGCCCGCTGGATTTGCTGAGAAGGCCCGGCAGGCGCAGGCCATGGTTGATGCTAACAGGGTGAGCTGGGCTGGGGAATGAGAAACAGGACAGGGTAATTTGGAAGGGAAACGAAGAGTGGGCTGGAAGGGAAGGTGCACCTCTCCCCTTTCCCGTCCCCCATATTCCACCCCATACAATACCCGTCCTTTCCCCCACACAAATTGTACATACACCTGGAGCTCCCAGAAGTGAGGGTTTGGCAGCCGCGCAAGGCAGTGGGGCCGGAGGTGGGCGAGCAGGAGGTGTATGGCATCGACCCCTACACACACAACCTCAACTCACTACTCCCCGTCCTTTTCCCCGCTGCGCTTTCTCTCCTCTTCCCCCTGTCAACAGTACATACACCTGGAGCTGCCAGAGGTGAGGGATTGGCGGCCGAGAAAGGCAGTGGGGCCGGAGGTGGGCGAGCAGGAGGTGTACGGCATCGACCCCTACACACACAACCTGCTGCTGGACACGCTGCCTTTCATGCCTCCTACTGAGACGGACGAGGAGAGGCACTCCTTTATCGAGGATGTGAGTGCCCTGGTTGTGTGGTTGTCGGTGTAGCCTGTAGTAGGGGCATTGCTTGTGGTTTGATGGATGCTGTTGCAGCCTCTAGAGGTTGGGGAGGGGACGTGCTGCTGGACACGCTGCCCTTCATGCAGCCTGCTGAGACGGACGAGGAGAGGCACCCGTGCATTGAGGATCTGAGTGCCCTGGTTGTGTGGTTGTTGTCGGTGTAGCCTGTAGTAGGGGCATTGGGGATGTGAGTGCCCTGGTTGTGTGGTTGTCGGTGTAGCCTGTAGTAGGGGCATTGGGGATGTGAGTGCCCTGGTTGTGTGGTTGTCGGTGTAGCCTGTAGTAGGGGCATTGGGGATGTGAGTGCCCTGGTTGTGAGGCACCCGTGCATTGGGGATGTGAGTGAGTGCTGGGATGGGATTGTGTGGTTGTAGCTGTAGGGGAACTGCGTGTGGTATGAGAGAGGCAAGGTCCCTGTGGATGGAACTAGACCTGATGCCCCTGGTGGCGATCACGAAGATCACTCCTCCGCTCCCCCTGTCGTCCCCCCCCCCCCCCACACGCACCCCTGCAGCGCCTGCACCCCTGCAGTGCCTGCACCCAGCGTTACTGGCAGCGTCCTTGAGGGGAAAAGTGCCCCTGGAACTCGACTTGATGCCCGTGGTGGCCCGGCGCTCATGAAGATTGATGCGGACAAAGAGGGCGACCACGCTCTGATCCTCATGCTTGCTTCCCCTCTCTCTTTCACCCACACAAACCCATACCCGCCTACAGCACCTGCTCCCAGCACTCAATCAACTGGCCGCATCTTTCCGAGGCAAGGTCCCCTTGGAGCTGGATCTGATGCCCGTGGTGGCGCTCATGAAGATTGATGCGGACAAAGAGGGCGACCACGCTCTGATCCTCATGCTTGCTTCCCCTCTCTCTTTCACCCACACAAACCCATACCCGCCTACAGCACCTGCTCCCAGCACTCAATCAACTGGCCGCATCTTTCCGAGGCAAGGTCCCCTTGGAGCTGGATCTGATGCCCGTGGTGGCGCTCATGAAGATTGATGCGGACAAAGAGGGCGACCATGTTCTGATGGCTTATGCCTGCCTTCCTCCTCCCCTTCTTCCACTCCCCCACCCGCTACCCCCTGCACATCCCCCTTGCAGCGCCTGTTGCCTGCACTAAATCAACTGGCCGCGTCCTTCCGTGGAAAAGTGCCTCTAGAGCTGGACCTGATGGCCGTGGTGGCCTCATGAAGATCGCTGCTGACAAGAAAAGCGACCACGCGCTGATGCTCATTCTTGCCTCTTCCCCCCTTCCCACAACCCTTTGCACCCCTGCAGCGGCTCTTGCCAGCACTCAATCAACTGGCGGCGTCCTTCAGAGGCAAGGTGCCCTTGGAGCTCGACTTGATGCCTGTGGTGGCGCTCATGAAGATTGACGCGGACAAGATGGGCGACCACTCTCTAACACTCTCCTTCCTCTCCTGTATCCCGTACACCCCTCCTTACAGCGCCTGCTGCCTGCCCTGAACCAGCTAGCAGCCTCGTTCAGAGGCAAGGTCCCCTTGGAGCTGGATCTGATGCCCGTGGTGGCGCTCATGAAGATTGATGCGGACAAGAAGGGCGACCATGCGCTGAGGGACCTGTGCAAGACGCTTTACTCCGCCATGCGGGCACGGAGGAACATGAAGAAACCCGACAAGTACCTGGCTTACAGGAAGGTGCGTGCTTTGCTCCAGGCATTTAGGATGGTGAGTGGGTTTTTTATTTGGGAGGACTTCGTGGTGAATGGAGCTCTTCAGGGAGGTGTATCCTCCGTGCTTTGGCTAGTATGGTGCTTTAGTATCCAGCGCCGGCTCGGCTCTCGTCCTGCTTCTGCTCTCACTCCTGCTCCCCCTTCCTCTCCTGTTCCTGCTTCTGCTCTCACTCCTGCTCCCCCTTCCTCTCCTGTTCCTGCTTCTGCTCTCACTCCTGCTCCCCCTTCCTCTCCTGTTCCTGCTTCTGCTCTCACTCCTGCTCCCCCTTCCTCTCCTGTTCCTGCTTCTGCTCTCACTCCTGCTCCCCCTTCCTCTCCTGTTCCTGCTTCTGCTCTCACTCCTGCTCCCCCTTCCTCTCCTGTTCCTGCTTCTGCTCTCACTCCTGCTCCCCCTTCCTCTCCTGTTCCTGCTTCTGCTCTCACTCCTGCTCCCCCTTCCTCTCCTGTTCCTGCTTCTGCTCTCACTCCTGCTCCCCCTTCCTCGCCCGTTCCCGCTTCTGCTCTCCTGCATCTGCTCCCTGCCGTTCTTCTTTTTTGAGTCGACTCAAAATAGGTTCCCGCTTCTCCTCCTGCATCTGCTCCCTGCCGTTCTTATTTTTTGAGTCGACTCAAAATAGGTTCCCGCTTCTCCTCCTGCATCTGCTCCCTGCCGTTCTTCTTTTTTGAGTCGACTCAAAATAGGTTCCCGCTTCTCCTCCTGCATCTGCTCCCTGCCGTTCTTCTTTTTTGAGTCGACTCAAAATAGGTTCCCGCTTCTCCTCCTGCATCTGCTCCCTGCCTTTCTTCTTTTTTGAGTCGACTCAAAATAGGTTCCCGCTTCTCCTCCTGCATCTGCTCCCTGCCGTTCTTCTTTTTTGAGTCGACTCAAAATAGGTTCCCGCTTCTCCTCCTGCATCTGCTCCCTGCCTTTCTTCTTTTTTGAGTCGACTCAAAATAGGTTCCCGCTTCTCCTCCTGCATCTGCTCCCTGCCTTTCTTCTTTTTTGAGTCGACTCAAAATAGGTTCCCGCTTCTGCTCTCCTGCATCTGCTCCCTGCCGTTCTTCTTTTTTGAGTCGACTCAAAATAGGTTCCCGCTTCTCCTCCTGCATCTGCTCCCTGCCGTTCTTCTCCCAACAGGGCCAGGGTGTCGTGTGCAAGGCGCCGGAGGGCATTCTCAAGGAGGATTCCGTGATGGATTTTTTTTGGGGGAGGTGTACGCTCCTTGCTTCGGTTATGGTGCTTCAACCTCCTGCTCCGCTCCCACTCCCACTCCTGCTCCTGTGTGCGTCTGTGTCCCCCCATTCTTGTCTGTTCCAGGGCCTGGGTGTGGTGTGCAAAGCCCCTAAGGGCATCCCTAAAGAAGATTTCGTGGTGGAGTTCTTTGGGGAGGTGTACCCTCCGTGCCCGCCTTGGCTGGTACTAGTAGGTTGCTTCAAGTTGCCGCTCCTTCTCCCACTCTTGCCTCCTCCCTCCTTCTTGTCCCTCACAGGGTCTGGGCGTGGTGTGCAAGGCGCCTGAGGGCATTCCCAAGGAGGATTTCGTGGTGGAGTTCTTTGGGGAGGTGTACCCTCCGTGGCGGTGGCACGAGAAGCAGGACGGCATTCGCATGATTCACAACAAGGAGGCTGTTTCTGAGTTTTACAACATTCTGCTGGAACGGCCAAAGGGTGACGAGGCGGGGTACGATGTGTTGGTGGTGGATGCCATGCATCGAGCCAACTTTGCTTCTCGCCTCTGCCACTCCTGCAGCCCCAACTGCGAAGCCAAGTGAGTGGCCTGCTTCTCCTAGTTCGTTCAAGAGCAGGCGTTTTGTTAAGCTGAGTTCTGACTAGGCGAATCGTTTTTCGTCAAAAGCATTATTCATTGGAGCAGGCTGTTTTTTTTTTTTTAACGGTAAAAGTGACTTGAGTTTCCCCTTATTCCTCCATGTGCGCAACGTTTTGTCATCTCCCAGGGTGGTGGCAGTGGATGGGTCATATATGATTCACTCGGCACCTCATTGCTCTCCCTCCTTTCTCCCATACTTGCCTTTTTTCAGGGTGGTGGCAGTGGATATGTTTTACATGATAGGTGTGTACGCCATTCGCCACATCCTCATGTGTTGTCTTCTTCCACTCCGCCCCCATGTGCTCTCTTGTTTGTTCCCGTTGCAGGGTGGTGGCAGTGGACGGGTCGTACATGATCGGGGTGTACGCCATCCGCCACATCTTGCCAGGGGAGGAACTCACATTCGACTATAACTCTGTCACTGAGGTGTGTATGAAGCAAATGGTGAGTGAGGTGTGAGAAGCAATGAGGTGAGTGAGGTGTGAGAAGCAATGAGGTGAGTGAGGTGTGAGAAGCAACGAGTTAGCTGACTCTGCCATAGTAGCTGACCACTGCTCTCACCTCACCTGCCAGGGGAGGAGCTCACATTCGACTGCAACTCCATCACAGAGGTGAGGGCGATAAGTCATTGAGATGGGAAGGTGGGAGATGCGGCGAGGTGAGGTTGAGTGAGGCAGCGAGGTGAGGTTGAGTGAGGCAGCGAGGTGAGGTTGAGTGAGGCAGCGAGGTGAGGTTGAGTGAGGCAGCGAGGTGAGGTTGAGTGAGGCAGCGAGGTGAGGTTGAGTGAGGCAGCGAGGTGAGAGGGAGATGGGGAGGGAGAAGCACAAGACATGATCGGCGTGTTTTGAGGCGCCTCAAAAGAAGCACAAGACATGATCGGCGTGTTTTGAGGCGCCTCAAAAGAAGCACAAGACATGATCGGCGTGTTTTGAGGCGCCTCAAAAGAAGCACAAGACATGATCGGCATGTTTTGAGGCGCCTCAAAAGAAGCACAAGACATGATCGGCGTGTTTTGAGGCGCCTCAAAAGAAGCACAAGACATGATCGGCGTGTTTTGAGGCGCCTCAAAAGAAGCACAAGACATGATCGGCGTGTTTTGAGGCGCCTCAAAAGAAGCACAAGACATGATCGGCGTGTTTTGAGGCGCCTCAAAAGAAGCACAAGACATGATCGGCGTGTTTTGAGGCGCCTCAAAAGAAGCACAAGACATGATCGGCGTGTTTTGAGGCGCCTCAAAAGAAGCACAAGACATGATCGGCGTGTTTTGAGGCGCCTCAAAAGAAGCACAAGACATGATCGGCGTGTACGCCATTCCCTTCGCCACATCTTGCCTGGGGAGGAGCTCACCTTCGACCATAACTACGTCACTGAGGTGAGGCCGATGCAGAGACAAATGGAGAAGCATTTTTCTTCAACAGTAGCTTTTGCTGCAAGGACAGCATTTTTCTTCAACAGTAGCTTTTGCACTTGGGAAGGGTGGGGGGGGAAGTGGCAGAAGGCAGTCCTACATTCACGTGATGGTTTTTGAGAATTCTCAAAAACCAGCAAGTGGCAGAAGGCAGTCCTACATGCACGTGATCATCCAGCACCATGAGGTGGTGCGGCGGCAAGGGGGGGAGAGTGGGGGGGCTTGTGCTTGTAGAGCCTTTTTAACTCGGTTTCTCTTCCTCCTTTCTCCCCTTCCCCTTCCCCACATTAGAGTGTGGAAGAAAACAAGCAGGCTGTCTGCTTATGCGGCCACCGCTACTGCAAGGGAAGCTACCTGCACCTGGGGGGAGGCCAGTCGTCGTACACGCACGTGATCAGCCAACACCATGCGTTCTTCCCCTGTCCCATCCCTCCCCCCATCAGAGCGTAGAAGAGTACAAGCAGGCCGTATGCCTATGCGGCCACCGCTACTGCAAGGGCAGCTACCTGCACCTGGGGGGAGGGCAGTCGTACACGCACGTGATAAGCCAGCACCATGCGGTGGTGCGGCGGCATGCGCTGCTGCTGATGGCGTCAACAGGGGGAGGCATCACGGAGGCCGAGGAGAGTGCTTTGCGCCGGGCTGGCATTGGCAGCAGCTTGCTCACTGACCTCCCAGATTGGGCCATCCGCTACACTGCCCTGCTTGTAAGTGGTTACGTGCTGCTTTTCTCTCTGTCGTAGGCTGGTGAGGCGGCATGCGCTGCTGCTGATGGCGTCAACAGGGGCAGGCATCACGGAGGCCGAGGAGAGTGCTTTGAGAAGGGCCGGCATCGGCAGCAGCCTGCTTTCGGAGCTTCCGGATTGGGCCATCCGTTACACCGCCTTGCTGGTGAGTGCTGCTGTGCTCTCTCCACTAGCGCTTGACCCTCTACTAGCGCCTTACGTATAAGCGGCAGTCCTACACGCACGTGATAGGCCAGCACCATGCGGTGGTGCGGCGGCACGTGCTGCTGCTGATGGCGTCCACTGGGGGAGGCATCACGGAGGCCGAGGCGATTGCTTTGCGCCGTGCCAGCATCGGCACACCACTCGTTACCTGTTACCGGAGCTGATACTCGTGGAGCGGGAAGCAAAAGGGAATCATTCTTTGCCTGATTCGTTCTTTTTCTCCTTCATCTGTTTTGCTCAGATGGAGTTCATCGAGGAGGAGAAGTACCTACTACCGGAGCTGATAGTAAAGGAGCGGTTGGGCGAGAGGGAAAAGCAGGGCAGGCACAGGCGTCCCTCTGATGCCGCCGCCGCTGCTGCTGCTGCTGCTGCTGCTAGCGACTCTGCTGGTGCCAGGGCGGCTGTTGCTGCTGGTGGTGCTGCTGCTGCTGCTGCTGCTGATGGCCCTGCTACTGGCGGTAATGGTGCGGGTGCTGCTGTTACTGGTAACGATGCTAATGGTGGTGGCACTGAGAGGGAGCAGGGAAAAGGGGCGGATGAAAAGGTAGGAGGAGGAGTGTGTAAAGTTGAGGAGGGAGAAGGAGAGGGAGTGGGAGGTGGAGGCGGAAGAGGGGGAATAGGGGAGCTTGCTTCTGGTGCTGCTGGTGTGAATGGTGGGAGGCGCGATGGGAGTGGGGATGGGAAGGAGGAGGAAGATGAGGCAGATGTGAAGGCGGCTGCAGCAGGAATTGAGAGGATGGATATGGCAGGGAGAGGCAGGGAAGCGGATGGTGGTAGCGGCGGCGGTAGTGGTGGTTTTGCTGCTGCTGATGCTGGTTGTAGGGCCAATGGCAGTGCAAAAGGTGCCGTTGCTGGTTGTGACATTCGTGCTGTGAATGGTTTTCACAGCAAGTCATTGAAGAATGCTGGTCTTGCTGCTAGTGCGGTTGGGAACGGTGCTAGAGACGGCGCGAGCGGTGCAGAGGGGCATGATTGCAATGATGGCAACGATGGTGATGCCAAGGGTTGTGATGGTAAGGGTTGTGATGCCAGTGGGGCTGGCTCTAGTAACGGGGATGGTGATAAGGAGGATACTGAGAGTGAGGAGAGTGAGGAGGGGAGCGACGAGGAATACGCTCAGGAGGAGGAAGAGGAGGATGATGAGGATGGGTACTCGTCAGGTGAGGAGAGGAGGAGGCGGAGGAAGAGGAAGAAGAGAGAGAAACAGCAGAAACAGAAGCAGCCGGAGCAGCAGGGTCAGGGGCAGCAGAAGCAGGAGCAGCAGGAAGAGGAAGAGGAGGATGAAGAGGAGGGGTGGGATTTGGAAGAAGATGCAAGAAACGAGGTGGGTTTTTTTTCTCTTTTTTTCTTCTCTTTTTTTTTTTCTTTCTTCCCGAGCACAACGCCAAAAAAGGCTGAGGAGGCAGGAAGGAGATGGATAATAGGTAGCAAGGTGAGAGGGCATGAGCTCGTGCACAAGGTGTGGTGTGGGAAGGCTAGTTCTGAGGCGCCTCAAAACAAGGTGTGGTGTGGGAAGGGCTCTACCGTTGCCAGCCGTGCTGAAACTGTCTGCTGCTGCTGCTGTCTGCTCTGCTTCATGATTTGCTTTCCCCTGTCCCCTCCTTCCGACCTTCAGGCTGGAGGAGTGTACCTAGAGGAGGTGCGGCTTTTGAGAATTCTCAAAAGTCGCACCAATGTACCAAGGAACACTACCTAGGCACGCTGCAGAACCTGGCGATCACAATGGGCCGCGTGCGCTACTGCCTCAAGTCACTCTATATGTCTGCCTTACTCTCGTCTCCCCTCTCCTGTTCCTTATCCGCACCCTCAGGCCGAGGGCGTCTACCAAGGCACGCTGCAGAACCTGGCCTCAAGTCGCTCTCTCTGTTGCCTTCTGCTCCCCCTTCTCCTTTCGCTTCTCCCCACCCTCAGGCTGAAGGAGTCTACCTAGGTCGCTTACAGAACCTAGCGATCACAATGGACAGGGTGCGATACTGCCTCAAGTCGCTGTACGGAGATCCCAAGGCCGGCCCGCCGCCCCTGCGCCTGGTGACGGGGCACAAGGTCGTGCGCAAGGTGTGGGGCGGCGAGGGCTCCGTGGTGGCCGTGCTGCTGCCTCTCTTGGTGATGGTGGTGGTGTTGGTTCCATGATCTGCTTTCCCCTGCCCGGCCCCCTCCTCCCCACCCGCAGGCTGAAGGAGTGTACCTGGGGAGACTCCAAAACCTGGCAATTACAATGGACAGGGTGCGATACTGCCTCAAGTCGCTGTACGGAGATCCCAAGGCTGGCCCGCCGCCCCTGCGCCTGGTGACGGGGCACGAGCTCGTGCACAAGGTGTGGGGCGGCGAGGGCTCCGTGGTGGCCGTGCTGCTGCGCTGCATCGCCCTGCACCTCGACCGCCCGGCGTTTGTGGCGTTCCGGCAGCGCGTGAGGGAGAGGACACCTAAACCCAATGCTCACGCGCTCAAACGCAGCCTGTTGTGGTGAGTTGTGGGGAAAGTGGCAGGGTTTAGGGTTCGGGGTTGCATAAGTGTGGGGGGGAAAGGGGGGGTAAGGGAAGAGGATGTGCGAGGGTGGGTGGGCAAGCACAACCGCAGTTACTTTCTCTGCTCCTTCTCTCACCTCGGTGGCTGATTCTCTCCCCTATTCTCACCTCTCTCCCACTTCCTCTCCTGTTCTCTGATTTTTTCTCGGTCCCCTTTTTCCCTTTGCATTCTTCTCTTTCCCAGGCTGCGGGATGAGCTACTTCAGCTGCCCGTGACTGCAGGCAGCCGAAACGACGCAGCGGCCGATCTGATCCATCTATACGCCTACACCACCAACGTATTCGCCTTGCACGAGTACCCCCCTTTCGACTCCCCACCCATGACCATAGTCGCATCTGACCTCGGCCGAAACATCGCCTCGCCCTCTCCCTCCGTCCCACCGCCCTCCTCCTCCTCCTTCGCACAATACCCGCAGCAAGACGAGTGGGAGTGGGTGAAGGAATACGACAGCGATTACATTTACGGGCAGCTGATATTTTGGTTCAAGCAGACGCTGGTGGATCCGGGCAAGGCGTTGAGGGCGTTGAGAAGGGGGTGTCTTCTCTTGCCAGACCCATCGTCTTGTTACTCCAAGAACCCGCTGCAAGCTCTGCCGAGGGCGTATGGGCAGAGGGAGAGGAGGTCGCTGCTGCATCGCATGGTGAGCTCTGTCAGTGATGAGTTATGTTGATATTCCGCTTTTCCCGGCTGTTTCTCCTCCATCCCTCTCCCCTCCCTCCCATCCCTTGTCTCCCCTCCCTTCCTTTGGCCCTCCCTCATAATGTTCTCCCTTGTCTCTGCTACTGCGCACCCAATCCCACCCCCTCAACACACAATCAATTCCTGCCCTAACAGGAAAAGATGCCCGAGAAGCCGTGGCCCAAATCGTCCGAATCGTCCATCTGGGACTTCCGGTCAGCCCGAAAACTTTTCGGCTCGCCAATGCTTGATGCTGCGATCGCAGCGAAGCCGTTGGATCCTGAGATGGTGGCTTGGTTCAAGAACCGACCAATCACGTACGTTGGCCCATATGACACGTAAGCAAAGTGAGTAATGAGTGAGTAGCAAGCAGTGACATGCACCAGAACGCATGTAGATAGTGACTCGGAGGATAGTGTAGGCCTGTAGCTGGCTAGTCGCTGAAAGTCTACGAGGACAACTTCACTGCTGCGGTCTTTCAGGCGGTAATAGCAGTTGTCGGGACGCATTAAGGATGTAGGATGTTTAGCTTCAGGTGGTGGCTGAGTGCCATAGCTCTGACAAAATCGATTGAGCAGCCATCGTGGAAGAATGGATGAGGGTTGTAGATTCGATCTGGTGGACGCAGCAACACAGCAGGTTGGGTTGGAGGAGCTCCATGGAGCACTGTGCAGATAGCAGCCGGTAATTAGGCTGGATATGTTCGAGAATCCCTACTGGAGCAGCAGGCAGTTAGGCAAGAGGGTTGGAGGATCCCCAATGGAGCAGCAGCAGATCTCTCATGCACTGCGCGGATAGCAGCAGGTGGTCAGGCTAGGTGATGGAGCTGAGTGAGAGGAGCAACATGCGAACTCGGTTTGTCATGCGCGAACAGAGGTAGTTAGGCTGGATGGGTTGGAGGATCTCCAATGGAGCAAGCAGCAGATCTCTCAAGTGCTGCACTGATAGCAGCCAGCAGGTAGTTAGGCTTGATGGGTCAGGATTCCCACTGGAGCCGTAGCAGATCTCTCAAGTGCTGCACTGATCCCAACAAGTGGAACAGACAAGCTCATTCTGTTTATACACGAAGGAGCAGCAGGCATTGCATGGGTCCTCTACAGAGCTAGATGTCACGATACGGTAGAAGAAGCAGCAGCTGCGAGTAGTGGAGGGGCCATTACTTACTGCTGCAGACAAACTTGCAGCTGAGCATCACCTGGGTTAGCAGGGTTCCTCTGTGTATACATGCATGGAGCAGCATTGGTGCTGTGTTTCATGCACCTCTGTAGGCTCGACTGGGTCGTCGCCAGCAGGGGAAATAGCATTGGAAGCCAAGCTGATGGATATACTTACGCTTGCAACATATTAGTTGCAGAGCAGGTTGACCTGGTGGTTGACCAGACACAATACCACAACTGGCAGTAACTAACAGACTGATCCATTGACCTAGAAACATTATTGACATAAGATTCTGAAGCTTGCCTCTTGTCTGCAATTGCTTTAATTTTGTTGTATTGATAGTAGTTATGCTGATTCCATCACCCGAACTCACCAGCATTTACAGTTTCTGCAGGGCCTTGGCTTATTAGGCACACTAGATCTTACCTGGTTGCTGCTGTGTACTTGCTTCTGGTCCTAGTTAGTGAAAGCCAGTAACGGTACATCAATCATATTCTCTTATTTAGAAAGCTTGCTTTCTCTTACTTATCATTTGGCATCGTTCTCATTTCAACTGGCAAATTACAACATGCACCTCGAGCTAGGAAGCAGAAGTGCTAGTACATGTTACTATACTGCGTATCAATCATTGTACTAGCGATTCCTCATGCTACTTGATGTCTATCATGCTACAAGCTATCGATCTTCTCGTTCAAGCAGCGTCGATGATGCCCGTCAGTGTTGGGGCGGGGGGTGGGAGAGTTGCATGAGCCGTTGGAAAACGAGAGACGTGGGTGGAGGGAAATGAGCTCCAACCCACGATTTGTAGTTGGAGAAGGGCGTTTAGCGCGCTTCGACGATGCCAAAACATGCGTTACAAGCAGCTGCGCTTTCGAAATACGTAATTTTGAAAAACACTTCGTGTGTTTAAAAATTATAATATTTAGAAAGCTTGCTTTCTCTTACTTATCATTTGGCATCGTTCTCATTTCAACTGGGGTTCTTGAGACATGGGTAGCCGGGCTTCCGATGACGGATGAGTGCCTCTGCGTGCTGTGCTGAGGACGGGGCATGATTCAGGTCCTGCAACTGGCGGGAGGCGTTGATGAGATGTTCGGCATTTGGCGTGACGTACATCTCCTTGGCTGCGTCACTACGCCATCGGCCCAGCCGTTTGAAGATTCTGTCTGGCACGCCGGTGTTTGCCGCGGCAGTGGCTGCACCCTTGCGAAAGGAATGAGTGCCCAGCTGTTGTTCTCCAAGTCCGATCTTCCCAAAGGCCTCTTTGCACCAGTTTCGGATTGTCGGATACGACGGTGGCCTTGATTGGCCACCTTGGGTGGAACCATGACCGAAGGTGCGAATCAGCGGCCCCCTTGATTGCTGATCATATCCGGCGAGTCGAATGAGTCGTTGAGTGCCGCGGACAGGGCAGAACGGATCGTGTGTTGCGGCGATAGGTATCCATGTGCCTTTTCCAGCTTGGTCCGTCTTGGAGTACGGAATTAGGATCCACATGACCTCGTCGTCAAACTGGATGTCTTGCCACTCGATGGCGACGAGGTCTGAGTATCGCAGGAATCCGGAGTACATGAGAATGGGGATGAGCCCCTTTTGGAATTCGCCGGGGTTGTCAGATCGCAGGTATCCTGCCGACATGTCACGGACTTGTTGCAGCGAGACTGGCTCCTTCACTCTCGTGGGGCGAGGACAGTGTCGTTTTGCTAAGTCGCGTACTTGAGTGGTGAATGGTCCTGCCGTTGGGCATGCGCTCCCAGTCATGCGGTGGGCGAAGCTCACGGCTGAGCAGGTGAGTTGTACCATGGATAGGGTGGCCTTGCGTTTGATGGCGTACACCAGGTATAGTGCGAGGGTCATGTCTGCCGCGGGGAGGAATGGGAGGTCCACCTTTGCACAGAAGGCTCAAAACTTGACCCAGTATGGCTCGTACGTTTGGATCGTTGAGTCAGCACGAGACTGTGAGAGCATCTTTAGAAGCTGTACTTGTAGCTTTGGCAGTATGTCTGCGTGAAGGAGGACGAGATGGGTTAGTTGAAGACCACTGGTAATGCGACGATTGTACTATGAGGCAATCCTGTGCCTGAGAAAGCGGTGCGGTGCGAGCCTACTGCTAAACATTGGCTGCCGTGCGTCAAGGGAATTTGTGCTTGGATATGCGGGGCCCAGCTAGGTGGGGAGGGTTGTAGGAGCGGCCACCAGGTTGCCCCTGGCCAATGTGGGACAACGAGGGTGAGTGAGGCGTGGGTGCGTTGTGCGTGGTGGATGACTGCTGGGATTAACTGGGGTGGCGGGAACGCGAAGCCATTCTCGGTCGACCATGAAATCGAGAATGCGTCGATTGCAGTGGCCTCCGGGTGTGGTATCTTTGAGCAGAATCGTGGCAGCTGCGAGTTGTTTGGGCTTGCGAAAAGGTCGATTGAGTGGGGACCCCGACGACGATTGAGGATGCGGAACCATGGTTGTTTCAAGGAGTAATCGTCGTGGTCGATCATTTTGGACAGCTCATCTGCATGGGAGTTTAGCTCGCGCGGGATCCATTCAACAATTAATCGAGTGCCGAGCTCCATGCACGTGCGGATGATGTCCTTGCAAGCGGTGGTGAGGTCGGGGGTGCGAGAGCCGCCTTTGCGGAGGATGAAAAAAACCCCTTGGTTGTCCACCCTCACGAGCACGTGTTTTTGCTGAACCTTGTTCGCGTACGTTCGAAGGGCCCAAAGGACGCCTTCAATTTCCCTCCGAGTGCTGGACGTCATTCGCAATGGTTCTGGCATGGCTGCGCTTGCCTCTTCGAGTTCACCAGGGAAAGTGAGAAGGGTGGCGCCCCAACTATGAGAGCTGGCGTCCACGTGAATTACCGCGTCATAACTATTCCGAACGTGGAATGGTGCGCCATTAAATTTGTCGAACTCTTCAAGCCAGAACTGCAACTCTTCAGCAACGGGGGGGGAAATGCTCAAGCTGCTTCCCCAGGATGGCGCGTCATTAATTGCTTGTAGCATGGCGTGGCTGAATGCACGCGTCGTGGCGCCGAGTGCGACGGCCATCGACGCGAGTGTGCCGGTGATTCTGGCCAGGTGGCGGACTGGAACCTGTCGGCGCGCTTTGCTTGCGTCCAGTAGGTTCCGAATGTGTGCGTGAAGTGATGCCCGTCGATCGGTGCCAATTGAGAATTGACCAGATTTGGTGTCCAACTCGACGCCCAAGAATCGCAGATGTTGGGATGGCAGCAGCTGCGACTTTTTCGCGTTAATCACCAAGCCCGCCATCTTGAGGTCCGAAATTATATGCTGGCATGTTGCTTGTGCGTGGGCCTTGGACGTGCATAAGAACAGGATGTCGTCCACATAGGGTATCACTCGAACGCTTTGTTCACGCCAGCTCCTGGCTAGTTGTTTGATGAGCTGCGTGAAGACAAATGGTGCCGTGGCGAGGCCAAAGGGTAGTGAACGGAAGGCGTACGTACGCCCTTCAAATTCGAAGCCCAAGAATTTCCAGCAAGAGTTGTGTATGTCGATATGGTGGTATCCCGATTTGAGGTCGATGGAGAACATCCAATCTCCCATGCGTGCCAGGTCGGCCACGCGGCTTAGGCCTTCGTATTTGAATTTAGGGATGGTCAGGTGCGCGTTCACTTTTCTGAGGTCGAGGATTAGCCTGCATTTTTCTCGTTGCTCAACCACGTTGAGTGGGCTTATGCATGTGAGCTTCGCTGCTGGGGTGACCACCGCCGCGCCGGTCTCGGTAAGTTCGCGAATGGCAGTGCGTGTGAACGCAGCATGCGTGTGCGCCCCGAGGTGGTTGCGCTCGTGAAACGGTTGTGGTGGGTTGTGGCTC